ACTATACAGATACAGAACACAATATATCAGTTTTTAACTATACAGATACAGAACACAATGCATGGGGTTTAAAACTGTTGCACACAAACTAACAAACAATACAAGTGGATAATGAAACGAAACTAAAGCCAATAATATAACTATGATACAGCATAGCCTCATATACTGTGGCATCGGCTTGTTCCTATGACAATCATCATCGTTACCAACTGCTTTGCTGACTGCTGTGAGTGATCCCCTATAGCTAAATCCTCTTCAGGTCACTGTTGACATATAAGGCGTTCACACATGATCTCCACTGCTGCTGATTTTCTGCCAACGGTATCCCATGTCATTTTATATTTCATTTCCTTTTCCATAGTCCTTTTCCATGGTCCTTCTTCAGGTCTCCTTAGGTTGTCTCTTTTTCTATCTGCCATTCATCTGAGACATGTCCTTGCCAAAGTGTTATGAGGCATTCTGCAAAATGTTGAAACCATTGCCATCTTCCAACTTTTATAATGTTTGCCAGTGAAGAATATTTGGTTTCTCTCCTCAGTTCTTCATCTGTGATCTTGCTGCACCAAAATATCAGCAGGATTAGAAATGGGCAGTTGTGCCTTTCCATGTCTGATTTAAAATATCATATATCAGTTTTCATGTACTGACACTTTTCCATGTCTGATTTAAAATATCATATATCAGTTTTCATGTACTGACACTTTTCCATGTCTGATTTAAAATATCATATATCAGTTTTCATGTACTGACACTTTTCCATGACATGACAAAAGGCTGAATCTTCTCTCGGTATCATGCCTACGATGATAAACCATTTATATATAAAGATCTATGTACATGACTCAGACTAAACCTAGGTTTTATCAAAGCATGCAGAAACAAGACAAATGACATGGTTCCACAGACAGATCACACTTAGAAATGACTCCACTAAAAGTCAACAACAATGTGGATGTTCTCAACAGAAGATTAAGCGTAAGTGTGTTTACTGTAATGAGAACTTAGATCCTCTCACATCTTCTTCTTCTTCCTCTTCCTCTTGAGCATTCTGATTTCAAACAAACAAGTGAGCCAAATCCAGCACTATGCCTAGCAAGTATATCATATATTATTCAATAGTCACCATAACTACACAATTTAAAGTAGCTGTTCATACACATACACTTTACAATGTACACATGACTGGAGTCTTCTGTATGTATGGGAGAGCAAAATGAAAACACACAAACAAGTAGGAGCAAAAATCAAACCTAAAGAGGCATGTAAACTTACAGAGGTATGTCAGATAAAGTAAAATAAGGATCAGCTAAGTCAGTGGTTCCCAGTCTGGCTTGTCAGGAGAACACTATACAGGAATAAACATTGAATCCGGTCCTAGATACTTTATTTATAAGATGCAGCTCAAACAAATAAACTCCAAGCAGAGCTTTGGCACCGCTGCACTAAACCCATCTTCCTGCTGCACTAAACTCATCTTCCTGCTGCACTAAACCCATCTTCCTGCTGCACTAAACCCATCTTCCTGCTGCACTAAACCCATCTTCCTGCTGCACTAAACTCTTCCTGCTGCACTAAATCCATCTTCCTGCTGCACTAAACCCATCTTCCTGCTGCACTAAACCCATCTTCCTGCTGCACTAAACCCATCTTCCTGCTGCACTAAACCCATCTTCCTGCCGCACTAAACTCTTCCTGCTGCACTAAATCCATCTTCCTGCTGCACTAAACCCATCTTCCTGCTGCACTAAACCCATATTCCTGCTGCACTTAACCCATATTCCTGCTGCACTAAACCCATCTTCCTGCTGCACTTAACCCATCTTCCTGCTGCACTTAACCCATCTTCCTGCTGCACTTTCCACTTTGGCACCAGGCAACATTTGATTACCCCTGCCAGATGTCAACAGTTTCACATAGAATGAAATCAAACACGTCCATACATGCTGTGTTTTTCTAAGAACCAACAAAAGTACTTTATTTAGAGACAGGACTAGCAAGAAAACAGCTGAACAATGCAAATAAAAGTCACATATAAACACATAAAAAGGCAAGAACTATTGCTGCAACACAAGAAACATTAACTTTCCAGGAGCAATGTATTGCCGCCTGAATATCAACTGCAAGTTATTGCAACAAGGTTTCACCAAAATTCAAGCATAAAAAAAATAATATTGCACAAGAGGAGTGGGTATTGAGAATGAAAATTTTGAACAGCTAAAGTGTCAAAAATTTTCTTTATTAACAGAAGTGAGATCAGAGTTGGAAATTATAATAGCACAAAGATAATATTAGTGGAGCTGCCATCTTCATATTAATAATCGGTTGCAACCATTCTCTAGAATTTAGTCTTTTGATGTAATGACGTAGTCCGACATAACTGTTTCTGTTTCTTAATCCCCGACTTAAATCAGTGTCTTCTTCTGAAATGTTTGCCTTTCAACTTTCTGTCAAGGATGGTCTTCATGTTTTTGTTTTCTTATTCATCCAAAATGATACACAGAACAAGAATCGTCTCATAAGTCCCTGACCTGTGGTACGGTGATTTCAGTCACAGGTATGAGGGAAAGTAATGGCTGTTATGCTGTGTACACCGGGGCATCAAGTTCCTCACCTAAGGCCCCAGTTTAACCTCTGTTCTTCTGAAAGATCCTTATTATGAGATGGTTAACAATGGACAATGAAAATAACCAGAAATATTGGAAAGTAAAATGATACATTTATCATCATCATCATGTGCCTTGCTGACTGGGCTTTCATGCCTCTCCACAACCTGTAATTTCTAACAGCTTGTGTCAGTTTGTGTGCCGACATCACTCCACGACATGACAAAAGGCTCTCAGCTTGTGTGCCGACACCCCTCCACGACATGACAAAAGGCTATCAGTTTGTGTGCCGACACCCCTCCACGACATGACAAAAGGCTGTCAGAACTTCTATTCTATACTGCCAATGTGCAGACACACAAGCTATATTATAACACAACAATGAATGATAAATGTGCCAAACTGTTTGCAGAGGGGGAGAGGGAGAGATGAGTGAGAGAGAGAGAGAGGCAAAGAGAGAGAGAGAGAGAGAGAGAGAGAGAGAGAGAGAGAGAGAGAGAGAGAGAGGGGGGAGAGGGGAAGAGAGAGAGAGAGAGAGAGAGAGAGAGAGAGAGAGAGAAAGGGGGGGGGGGAGAAAACAAACGATCTTCTTCAGCATTCTGAGCCCTTGAGGTTCACTGCTGCAGATTATCACCCACCTCCATGAATCTCTGTGAATAGCCTTCTCTTTCCAGCGGGTGACTCCAGGTATCCGTTTAAATTCATCTGAATTTGAGGCTTGAATATGTTTTCTGACAAATGCAGTTTTACGATGGCCTCATGCTTCAACCCCAACCTGAAGGTCTAGACTCCTTGTCTGTTCCTTTCTCTTTGACCTGTCAGTCTTGGGAGGCCCAGAGAGAAATGATGCTACAATACCAATTTACCATTACATTCACAATACTGTTTCCTACACTACTACCCCAGAATTTGTGAGAGTGCCTTCAAGACAGAGAGGAGAGGAAGTGCTAGAGGCAAACACCAGCTGATGTAAGGAACTTGGGAATGAAACCTTCAACTAACTGCTATGGATTGTATACTGTTATGCTGTCACATGAAAACGTTCCCAAAAATAAAAGACAACCACAACACCTTGACTGAAAAATAAAATGTTAAAAAACAAATACAAATATTCAAACAAACTAGAAGTTCATAATAAGCCAACTCTGTGTGTGGGTTCTGAGGTCCCATTGTTGGGGGGGGGGGGGGCTTCATTTAAAGTTGGAGTGCATTTGCCTAACAGGCAAGGAACCAACAGTCTGCTAATACATAAGCCAGATCTGTAAACAACACCCGGGTTCTGGAGCAAGACTAAAGTCCAGGGGTGAACAGACAACCAGAACTTTCCACCAAAGTTTACAGAGGAAGAAGACAATAAGCCAACAAGAAACTAAATGTGATTAATCTAGCAAACAGTATTACATCATGATTTATTGTTGGGAATAAACAGCAAACAATCTGGCTACAACACAGGCCTTGAAATAAAAGCTAAGCATCCTTCAACCATGTGGCTAAGATATTTACACTAAGCTAAGTGTGTTTGTTAATGTTTTATAAAACTGTCTGATGCCACACAAATTTCAAGTAAAAGTCAAATAAACAACCCTTTCCAGTGGCATATCGGGCACGTGATGTTGGACTCATATTTTTATAGACCAATCGGCCCTTGATGGTTAATATCACACTGGCCACCTTTACTTCCCACAACTTCATCTAGTACCCATTTTATGCAGACTGATCAGACTAGGTCATTTCTAAAAATACAAAATCCAATTGGATGCAGGACTACTGAGCTGGCACACAGAGCAGCTAGCCACTACACCATGGCAGCTTCTTCTACACAAGTATGAAGATTTCTAACATTTACACAATGGGCCCAGATGTTTGTGACATCAAGTAAGTTGTGCATTAGTAAGATTTTGTTTTAACGCTGTCTTATTTTTAAAAAACATAGTCTGCCAATTTTTACTATGATCAAGGCCCAATGTTTTAAAGACTGAGGTTTTATTTTTTCTCCATAAAATTCATAGACACTCTAACTCACTGGAAATCTACCATCTTTATTTCCACCCCACCCCTGAGGATATACTGGAAGTGTGGGTGCTACTTCATGCTGAGTACTGCCACCTTTTTCTCTCGGTGGAAAAACACCCCACCTAACTGGGACATAGGTTGTAATTGAAGCTGTCACTGTGAAATAAAAACGGTTTATTTTAAAAACTGTAGGAATAAAACATGGCTATAACATGATAACAGTAAAAAATGTTGACAAGACTGAATTTCATCACTGATAGTGTTGACAGCAAACTATATTGGGTTGTCCAAGAATGTGCTTATGTTTAGGGCACTCTTCTCTGTGACATCTCGTGACGTCCCTTCTGTAATGGATGACTGATCAGCGCAAGGAATTTGAGAAGATTATACTTGACTTTCAATTCTGTCTGCTTCCATGGCTTCTGCAATCTTTGTTAGGATGTCCTGGTGAGGGAAAACAAGGGCTATTTATATTTGTGAACACAAATGTCAAACATAATATTTTAGGACAAAGATAATGAAATGTTTTGGCACTAAAAAAGCTGGAAGACACATCACAAGTGATATAGAACAGAACAAAACAGATAAACAATATCATTTGATAAATTAAGCTCATTTTAGGTAATTAGCCATTTTTCCAAGGTAAAGGCACAGGTGACAGGATCGATTTCACTGCTCCGGGTTTTATCCCATATAACTCAGTCTCTCTCTCTCTGCAGAACAGCTAGCTGCCTGCCGTGAGCGTCGCACAAAGCATGACCTCTGTAGCTCTGGTGACAATCCCCTGGGCTGTCCGTAAAAATTGCACTCGTAAACTGAACGATGATGCCGTGAAACAAACCCACGACCTTCAGAGCGTGAAGCAAATGGCTGGACCACTTCGCCACGCAGACCCCCGCACTTGTCGATGAAAGTCAGGAAAATAAAGTGTGTTACAAAGAACCTATTTTAATCCCCATGTGGGATTCTGAGCTCCACTGGGGGGTGGGAGGGAGGGGGGGGGGGGGAAGAGAACAGACCTACTTCCCCTCTAAAACAAGCATGTCAAAAAATTAATAAATAAAAGACGACTAATGAGGGCTGTCTCTTTAAAGTCAGAGTGCCTCTCTACCAGACAGACAGACAGACAGACAGACAGACAGACAGACAGACAGGCAGGCAGGCAGGCAGGCAGAGAGAGAGAGAGAGAGAGAGAGAGAGAGAGAGAGAGAGACAAGAGAGAGAGAGAGAGAGAGAGAGAGAGAGAGAGAGAGAGAGAGAGAGAGAGAGAGAGAGAGAGAGAGAGAGAGAGAGAGAGAGAGAGAGAGAGAGAGAGAGAGAGAGAGAGAGAGAGACCATCTAAATAAATGTAGTGACAAACTGTAAAGTATTGTACAGAAAACAAGACTCCCAAAAATATGAACAGAAAACTCACTTGAACCAGTTTGGCATCAGCTATTGGGACATCTTTCTTGGACACGTTACTCCCAAACAGCTTTTTCTTTTCCTTCTCCTATGAACAGGAGGAGAAAAAAAAATTAAATAAAACCTAACAAACCTTCATAAAAAAGGAAGCAGAGCATGAAGTAACAAGTGGTCATGATATAACAGCCTAATGTGATGAACCATACAGTCAAAATTGCTTCTATGTTGTTCAAAAAAATGTTCCCCTATTGTGAGTTTGAACAAAGAAGTCACAAACAATAGACATCACAAGTGATTGAAAGAAATACTAAATATAACACAAAATGTGACTAGAAAGCTCAACGGAGGGTATGGAAAAGATGCACACAAACACAACCAAACTTTTCGACCAAAGTCTTTATCAACGGAATACTAAATACAGCAGAAACTGTGACTGACCAACTCAACAAACAAGACAACAGAGCTAATAAAAAACCAAAGTCAACATGAACCTAAGAAATATGTAATGGGGGAAAATATGAATATAAAGTGCCCTAATACAAAACAAAATAAGTGAGTAGGCATACGTATAGAATTAAAAAAAAAAAAAGGGGGGGGGGGGTGAGAAATATGAGTAAGTTAAATAAATGAAAAAGTAAATTTAAAAAAATATTTCAAATATTTTACGTCTGTCAGCAAAACTGACTGCCTAGTATATTTTGCATTATACCTTCCGGTGCACACTACAGTAACAAGTGAGTGGGGGGGGGGGGGGGGGGGGGATATGGAGGGGGGGGGGGGGTGGGGGTGGGAGTGGGGGGGGGGGGGGGGGGACCTGCTTCATCCCTATTTGTGCACACAAAAGGGTATGGTAGTAAACCTGTGTTTGCTGTGGTAAAAGAGACAGTTACTTTTAAACATAACTCATTCTGTGTTTCGGTTAGAAGGATTCATTTTGTATGTGCATCATTTTAATAAACTTTTACTGCAGTATGCACCTGACAGTGAAATATGCCAGCAATTGTGCAAAACCACAGTTTGTGTCTTCTTTGTCCTCATTTACTGATCTAAGGATCGACATCATAGCACATTGGGTATACCATAGGTGCTCCGTCTCCTGCAGTAAATATCTTAATGTGTAAGATGCTAACTGTTTTCGTAGCACACTGATTATACACTCATCATTCTCTTCTTCTCATACATCCCACTTGCCGGATTCACGCCTTATTCCTCATTCATACATATGTTATTTCATCTAACCTTGTGTCTTCTATCAGTATTCATTGATAAATGGTCTTTGGAATGTCTCCTTTGTCTAATAAAAGTGTTCATGTAGCTATAGATTTTGTAGCCAGAAAATCTTCTTTCTTCATATGTTCATGTAGCTATAGATTTTGTAGCCAGAAAATCTTCTTTCTTCATATTATATTAATACTAATTCAGCAACCAGATTCTAGAACTCAGAACAAAGCCAAAGATACAGAATATAAACTGAGAACAAACCCAAAGATACAGAATATAAATCCAGAACAAACCCATAGGGACAGAATATACTATGTGTTGATTGTTTTGGCATTAAAACTGAACTTACCTTGAGAAGAATTTCAATGCCCTTGCTGGTTTGTTTTGGAGCTCCCTTCAGCTCAGAGTAGGTGAACACCCAGTCCGTATCCCAAGCTCCAAAAATCTCACCACGTTTAGCAAGCATAATTCTCCTACAGGATAAAACATCAAGAAATGAATCTTCTGTGAGAATACAATGACTAGTTTACAGGCACACGTGGCATCATTTCTGCTAGAAGTTTGATTGTCTTCTTGAAGGTCTTAGGTTCAAATTCTTATCAGGTCAGATTTAAAAAAAACTGACTTTGGCTCTCAAGTAAACCCAGCCTAAATTCCTGGGAAGTTTAGGTTTAGATTTAGACAATGGTTCAACATCATGGCACAAAGGCTCAATATATAAACATGAGATTAAGCAGTCACGTGCATGGCGACTATTCCTTGGGTGAACTTAGTACCAGATCAAAATGCACAGGCTCTACATTTACAGAAACCTCCTTAGATGGCAGGAAATGTTCTGCCCTTGCCTTTCCTTCAGTGTTGAGCAGTGAGCATACGGCTGCCCTGGACATGTCCTCTAGGGACACAATCAGTGCATCCGGAGATGATGACATCACCACACAAATGAGGCTATAAATGATTCCGCATAGCTAACTGGGAGTCTTAACTTGGAAAACAAATGCCTAAAGAAGTAGAACAAATGCCTAAAGAAGTAGAACAAATGCCTAAAGAAGTAGAACAAATGCCTAAAGAAGTAGAACACATGCCTAAAGAAGTAGAACAAATGCCTAAAGAAGTAGAACACATGCCTAAAGAAGTAGAACAAATGCCTAAAGAAGTAGAACAAATGCCTAAAGAAGTAGAACACATGCCTAAAAAAGTAGAACAAATGCCTAAAGAAGTAGAACACATGCCTAAAGAAGTAGAACAAATGCCTAAAGAAGTAGACAGTGTCAGCAGAAAGGCAAAATTATCAAACCTATGCTGTAAACAGGCAAAGTGTATGTAAGTCATTAGGATGAATTAAGATGATGATAATAAAAAACAAACATGATAGAAATAAAACATAGGAGATATAAAAACATGAAAGGGAAAAACACACACATAACCACTTACTTGTCTGTGACAATAAACACGACTTTGCCATCCTCTTTAACTTTGACATGGGTGATGTATTCGTCAGTATCGACATACTTTCCCTTGTCGGTCTCCAGCAGCAGGTTGTATCCCTCGGCCTCTTCACGGATGTAAGGGCGGATAACCCCATCTTTGTTGAACCTGCGTGGTGGTCGCAGGCGGTGAATCTCTTCACTGAAATCTGTTATTCTGATCAGAAAACATTTGATTCTCATCAATACAGACATCGTAAATATTTCTCTACATGAAATAATATTTCTTAATGTGAACAAGGTTCTAAAAGCTTAGCTTCATAATTGTTCTTCTTCTGCTATATATGGGCTACAGACGCTCTAAACAACCCGTGGTGGTGCACAGAGACCAAATCTCATACTCCCTGTGTGGGTTTTGGGGCTCCACTATGAGGAGAAACAAGAAAAGCACCAACAAGCATGTCATAAGAGTAGACTAATTAGGGATGTTTCCTTCAAAGTGCATCCACCTGAGAGGGGAAGAACCAACAGCCTGCATACAAATTAGCCAGATGTGTAAGCAAAACTCAGGTCCTGAAACAAGACTAAAGTCCAGAAGTGGATGAACAACAAGACCTTTCCAACCAGCTCATGCCAAGCATTCTTATTCTTTGCTATCTTGTGCAGATCCCTGTTTGTCCTCTCCATCTTATTCATCTTTGTCTCTAACTCTCTTCTCCATGCGTTAGTTGGACTCCCTTTATTTCTTTATGACTGTGAATGCATGATGTGTGTATGCATTATTTCATTATGCACATTTTGATATTAACATAACATGCAATTGTAATCTGAAAGATGAGTATTTGAAAGCCATATATAAGATGGCTTGTGTTCCTAATTTGTAACCCTTTTAAAATAAAGTTTTTTTTTCTTCATTTGTTCGTTCTTTGGCACTGTGGGTTCCAGTGCTGGACATTCCAGCTTTTTTACTATCAGGCTTTCTTAAAGGGCCCTATCCAGCATCAGTGACATTTTTTTCACTTCTTCATTTATTAGAATTTGTTAACTGTTTTCCTCCTATGAACAGTTTTTCCTCCTATGAACAGTTTTTCCTCCTATGAACAGTTTTTCCTCCTATGAACAGTTTTTTCTCCTATGAACAGATTTCTCCTATTAACAGTTTTTCTCCTATTAACAGTTTTTCTCCTATTAACAGTTGTTCTACTATTAACAGTTTTTCTCCTATGTTGTTCTCCTATTAACAGTTTTTCTCCTATTAACAGTTTTTCTCCTATTAACAGTTTTTCCCCTATTAACAGTTTTTCTCCTATTAACAGTTTTTCTCCTAAGGCTCAGCATTAATTATTATGATATATAATTGAACACTGTCATTGTTGGCTGCATTTACCACTCTTTAGAATGGATACATGTCTATACTGATGGATCAGCATTTAAAGCTACCATTAAAGCAGGTTACGGAATCTACATAGGTTATCCCGATGGATCTGTTGAAGAGATTTTTGATGCATGCGGGGAATTCTGTTCAAACTATGAAGCTGAAATAATTGCACTGGAAACAGCCGTATACCACCTAAAGACTGTAATGGATGTTTACCCCTCAAAGGTCCAAAATATTGTCATCTTCACAGATTCAATGTCTGCCCTTCAAGCTCTGGAGGGCAATGAACGCTGCAGAACTGACATAGCCAAGATAATCCTGGATGCCGATCAGCTTATTACCTCATACAACATCAGAATAGTGATGCAGTGGATTCCAGGTCACTCCGGCACACCAGGTAATGACAGAGCTGACAGATTGGCAAAGAAAGGAGCAACACAAGAACAACCACCTACAGCGACAACCCTCCAGACAGCAAAAACACTGATAAGAGCTATAAACAAAGAGACTTGGTTGAACAGATGGGCCATGGGAGACACTGGAAGAGAGGTTTATAGACATATGTCTGGCCCTGATCCTAATGACAGCATTAACCATCTAACAAGAAGGGACCAGGCCACCATCTTCAGACTTAGAATGCAACATACTCCACTCAATGGACACCTAAACAGAATACAGCCACAACACTCCCCAGAGTGCCAGCTATGTAACTACCCCTACGAAACTGTTGAACACCATCTCTTTGAGTGCCCAAAACTCAGTGAGACAAGAAGAACGCTACTCCCTCCGAGACCAGACAAGTGGAACACCTTGTACGGAGGAAAAGAACAGCTTGTGAAAACATGCAAATTCCACTACATGGCATTGGGCCAAAGGGCGAAAGCTCATGCGCCGCTGGATCGATAACAACAACAACAACAACAACCACTCTTTAGGTGCAGAATAAAGATTCTTAGATTTGGGTCTTCTAAACGAGAATGAGGGTCCAACATTGGAATCACCCGGCCAGACATTCCTTCCCTGCCAAGCAATGCATGTTAATTTATTTCTGCTTTAATTACGTATGCAGTAATAGCAATACAGAGTAGATCAATTTGTTTTTCAATACTTGCAGGAACAGAAATGATGAACTAACAGGGAGAGACAGGTGGGAAGAGAGGGTGAGAAAAGAAAAGGAAGAATGAAGAAAAAATGGAAGAGTACGAAAGGGAAGGAAGGAGAGAAAGATCCACTCGGCGCACTACTGATCAGACAAGGAAAAAGAAGAAAAGAGGAAGAGTAGGACAGGAGGGGAAGGAGAGGAAGACCAACTTGGTTCACTACTGATTTGAGAATATGACAATCTGACTGATTTATGACAGTGTAGAAATGTTACCCAGAATAAATGACCCAAAAAGTGCTCATATCACATGGTCTTACCTGCGAATACCTTCCAGGGAGCTGCTAGCGAAGTCCACAACACCTGAAGTTGGCCTAGTCACCACTCCCACAAGTCCCTTGCCCATTCCTGCAAAAATATGCCATATTTGAAAAAAATAAAAAATAAAAATAAAAAAATGCTTTCAGTTAAAAGACATAGAATAATACGTAAACTAAAATAAGAAAAATTATTTATCATATAACTTTAAAGAAAACAAGAGACTTGTATAAGTCTCTTCACAAAATCCACTAAAAATTTAATATCACAAATAAATCAGTGACACAATTTTGAGCCAAAATGAATTCCCTGAAAAACATTACCCTTTCTAACATTTCCAAAGCCATAGATCATGGATTTCTTCCCTTGGAAAAAGATATTACTATCTAAATCTCACATCATTGAAACCAAATATTACCCCAAAAAAAACATAGAATATTACTGCACCATAATGCACTGTATGAGTATGTGCAAAAAAGATTTGACCAGACAAACAAGTAAGTCTATATAAAATATTAAAAATGTTTTTTTTTTAAAATTTGTTTTAAAATACTAAAAATAAACAGCCATCCATTCTCTCTCTCTCTTTCTCTCTCTCTCTCTCTCTCTCTCTCTCTCTCTCTCTCTCTCTCTCTCTCTCTCTCTCTCTCTCTCTCTAACATGCTTATTGATAAAATACAAAATGTAAGACCGAATGTAAGACGGGCCTGCGTGCCCAATTTGTGACCCTTTGAAAATAAAGTTTGTTTGTTCGTTTGTTCCCCCCTCTCTCTCTCTCTCTCTCTCTCTCTCTCTCTCTCTCTCTCTCTCTCTCTCTCTCTCTCTCTATCTCTTACTAACTGTCACTATGTTATCCTCATTCAACATTGATGCACCAATGTACATTGAGGTGTAGCTGCACACTTTTCAAACCAAAGCCACACAGTCATTAACTTTTATGTCACCATGTTTGTCACATGGTGAGATTTGTTTCCTCTTTTTATCTGAACCTGAGGTCTCCAACTCCTCAGGGAAGGATCACTGTCTTGAAGGCTCATGGGAGAACTTAGTTCCCAATAACCAACTGACAACACCCTTGGTAGGGTAGAGCAATGTAGCTAGTTACTTTGAGTCAGTAGCAGGTACACTGTTCTCAGAAGCAGGGAGATGTGGTATATATAAAAACTGCACACTGATATTGAGGACATATCCAAACACCTCTCTCTGATGGAAAACAAAAGTCGGTACATCTGCAGTCTGTGTGAAACATGTAGATTTCTTACTATAGAAGTGGCAAATGATGTAGAAAATAAGACTACATAGAGAGGCTATAACAAGGAAGGTATAAGGAAAGCAAAATAGCAGCCTCTATATCGCCTGAGTAATATTTAAAAAAAAAATATTAATTAGCGATTTTCTGTATGCAAATAGATGTGTTCTTCTACTACTTCTTCTTTTGTGTTCTTTCAAAAACATAAATGAGTTGTGCCCGTTTACAACATGGCTGCGATATTTGCGCTTTTCGGCCAATACATCCCCCTTCTGCAAACATTTGTTGCCCTAGTTAGCTTTTCCAGAATTCATGACTGCAGTATGCAAAAGTGAAACTTGTATCAAAATGTGCTTCGACTGTTCTAGTTGCACTAGTACATGCAGTGTGGGGTGGGACAATGGGATCAAACCTCTCTTACCTGAACATATTTGGGAGAAATATATTTACTGAATACACAAATAACAACTGAATCCCTTCCTCAGATCATGTATACTTATATATTGTCTGATCTTCTTAAGCACATTCCATTAGGAATTAACTAATAAAAATGTTTACGATCTAGACGCAACCTGCTCTACAAAGTGTGCTAGGTCTCTGGCATATTTCCCCTTGAAAGCTTGTGGGGGGTCAGATAGTTCATTACTTTCCCATCAGAGTGTTTCCAGTTCAGGTTATGCCTAAATATGGAGGGGTATTACCTCTCTCAATAGATTATTCCAGTTACATAAGTACAGCCTATGAATAGAAGGTACAAAGGGTGCCTTGTATCAGTTCTGCATTTATGGAAGCCTCCTTGGGTGGCAGGAAATTTTCTGTCTGCCCTCGAATGGTAATACATCCGTAATGATTATCTCTAAAAGTGAAAGCGATGACATCCAACCATCACATGACAATGTTGTAAGCCAGGGCTTTTCAACCTGTGGCCTGTGGGCCGAATATGGCCTGGGTGGCCTAGCAAGTGAGCTGCGAACCACTGCCAACTGTATTGTGTTAGTGTTCTTCCTATGCTGGGACTTGGGCCTCTGACCTGGGACAATCCCCATTTTTACCATTCTGGCCCAGGAGTAAACTTTGCTGAATAGCCCTAGCCTAAGCTATACACCTACTCATGAGTCCAGGATAACAACACAATGAACAAACAAGGGGATATACATAATGCCTGATGACAGCCATAAACAACATTACCTGGGCACATGACAGGAATGGCTTACCTTTAAAGAAGCCAGCAACACCTTCCTGCTTGGCTCCTTCCACGGGCTTCCTGACAATGCCTGTCACACCATCAAACACACCCTGCGGTTGAGAAATCGATGACATTCATTACTCATCAATTACAGACTGCTTATATCACACTTTCTCACAAAGTAACAGACTCACAAAGCAGGCTGAGAAATCGATGACATTCATTACTCATCAATTACAGACTGCTTATATCACACTTTCTCACAAAGTAACAGACTCACAAAGCAGGCTGAGAAATTGATGACATTCATTACTCATCAATTACAGACTGCTTATATCACACTTTCTCACAAAGTAACAGACTCACAAAGCAGGCTGAGAAATTGATGACATTCATTACTCATCAATTACAGACTGCTTATATCACACTTTCTCACAAAGTAACAGACTCACAAAGCAGGCTGAGAAATTGATGACATTCATTACTCATCAATTACAGACTGCTTATATCACACTTTCTCACAAAGTAACAGACTCACAAAGTAACAGACTCACAAAGTAACAGACTCACAAAGTAACAGACTCACAAAGTAACAGACTCACAAAGTAACAGACTCACAAAGTAACAGACTCACAAAGTAACAGACTCACAAAGTAACAGACTCACAAAGTAACAGACTCACAAAGTAACAGACTCACAAAGTCACAGACTCACAAAGTCACAGACTCACAAAGTAACAGACTCACAAAGTAACAGACTCACAAAGTAACAGACTCACAAAGTAACAGACTCACAAAGTAACAGACTCACAAAGTAACAGACTCACAAAGTAACAGACTCACAAAGTAACAGACTCACAAAGTAACAGACTCACAAAGTCACAGACTCACAAAGTCACAGACTCACAAAGTAACAGACTCACAAAGTAACAGACTCACAAAGTAACAGACTCACAAAGTAACAGACTCACAAAGTAACAGACTCACAAAGTAACAGACTCACAAAGTAACAGACTCACAAAGTAACAGACTCACAAAGTAACAGACTCACAAAGTAACAGACTCACAAAGTAACAGACTCACAAAGTAACAGACTCACAAAGTAACAGACTCACAAAGTAACAGACTCACAAAGTAACAGACTCACAAAGTAACAGACTCACAAAGTAACAGACTCACAAAGTAACAGACTCACAAAGTAACAGACTCACAAAGTAACAGACTCACAAAGTAACAGACTCACAAAGTAACAGACTCACAAAGTAACAGACTCACAAAGTAACAGACTCACAAAGTAACAGACTCACAAAGTAACAGACTCACAAAGTAACAGACTCACAAAGTAACAGACTCACAAAGTAACAGACTCACAAAGTAACAGACTCACAAAGTAACAGACTCACAAAGTAACAGACTCACAAAGTAACAGACTCACAAAGTAACAGACTCACAAAGTAACAGACTCACAAAGTAACAGACTCACAAAGTAACAGACTCACAAAGTAACAGACTCACAAAGTAACAGACTCACAAAGTAACAGACTCACAAAGCAGGCTGAGAAAGGTGAAAAAAGCAAGCTCATAGTGGCAAGCAGCGCTTCAGAGGTCCCACGTAGTTAGTATTCTTTGGGTCTTTCTCTGGTGTATGCAGGAGTATTGGGAAACAAACAAACAGTGGGATTGGCTGGTGCCACAAAAGAGGGTGGTCAAATGATGAATGACAAGCTAGATGTGGTCAAGGCCCTTTTGGCAGCCACAATGCAGAAGTGCCAACAGATCATTACACAGGAGAAAATGGTGCAGTGAAGTGCGACCAGTAGATCAGGACGACACTGGACACTCAGAGGAAAGGCAAGATAAACAAATAATCAAACAGCTACTGATGCCATCAAAACTGCCCATGCATCCCATCTAGGAAATGATTATATATCTTTCACAACGTGCATTTCCTGTGTCTGTGTGATTGTTTTCATTTGTTTCTTGGTGCAGGACTCTACTTTTGTTTTTACTGGTTGAAAAAACCTTTGGTCAAAACATAAACTTGTATTTCTATGTGTGTCTTACATTTCCTTTTGGTCAGTTTCCAAGCCATACTTTGTTCTGTGATCTTTTAGGTTTTGTTACCAGCTTAACCTGCAGCAGTAACAGCATGTCTGCCTGCTGGCTCAAAGGTCAAAGGTCATATTCCTATCTTGGCAGAATTTTTCAAATGACTTTAGCTCCCAGGCTGACCCAGCCTTAAATGGATACAAGGTAATTTCTTGGGAAGAAAAGGTGCCAGCATGTTGGCCACATTGATATGCAGAAAGATTTATAAAAATACGAGCCAAACCTCAAATCCCTGATGCACTACTGATGTAAAAAGGATCCTTTGCTTAACTTAACCCTAACAAATAAAATATAAGGAAAGACAAAAGACCTTTGGTACACTGGGCACAGAGTGCTGGGCAAATATTTGTATACATCAAACAGACTTATGATGTGGTCAACATGCATCAGATGCGGTTACTTCCCAGAAAATTACCTGGTTTCCGTCTTAGATTAGGTCAACCCTGAGAGCCAAGGTCAATTTTAAAGGAAGAAAAACATTTTAAAGGAAGAAAAACATTTTAAAGGAAGAAAAACATTTTAAAGGAAGAAAAAACATTTTAAAGGAAGAAAAACATTTTAAAGGAAGAAAAACAATCTGCAGTATATTAAAAGTGACCTACCATAACAAGCCCCTTCCCACCTCGGGCAAAACCTTCTCTGGCTGTGGCAGGTCTTTTGTTGAGCTGCTCTCGTCGTTTCTTCTGATAATCATCATCTAGAGTCAGGGCAGCTAGTCCTTTACCCAGAGTTCCTGTGATTCTGGACACAGCTCCAGCAGCACCACCTGGACATCAAGTATGGGAGAAAATGTCCAGTCTTAGTGAGAGTGTGTGGGGGTTTTCTTATAGACATGTGGGAGGCGGAGATGACGGACAAACTGTAGACAGACAGACAGAGATAGAAAGATAGATAGCCCGATGGATGGACAAACTGATAGACAAAAAGACAGACGACAGACACATAGACAGACACACACACAGCCAAGACACACACACACAGAGAGAGAGAGAGAGAGAGGGAGGGAGAGAGAGGGAGGGAGGGAGGGAGAGAGAGTGAGAGAGAGAGAGAGAGTGAGAGTGAGAGAGAGAGAGTGAGAGAGAGAGAGTGAGAAAGAGAGAGTGAGAGAGAGAGAGAGAGTGAGAGAGAGAGAGTGTGTGTGAGAGAGAGAGTGAGAGAGAGAGAGAGAGTGAGAGTGAGAAAGAGAGAGAGAGAGAGAGAGAGAGAGAGAGAGAGAGAGAGAGAGAGAGAGTCATCTTGACAAGTAATATGGTCAAATCTTACTGTGCAGTTTTTCTTTTAGACACATGGGAGATAGAGAAATTAGACAAACTACAGACTCAGACAGAAAAACAGACAGATGCAGCGAGACAGAAAGAGAGGAGGCGTAAACAATGAATGGAACATTCCCAACTAGTCTGACTTGCAGAGCCTTTTTTGGAGTCAATTTTTATGGCGAAGTCCATCACACCTAATGTACCCTATGTTACAACATGTGAGGTGAGATGAGATGTATAAGAAATGTGGCGAGGAAGAAAACAAAACAAGAAGAGATAGTCACCAATAAAGAACTAAGAACAACAGTATAGTACCAGAGAATGGTTTCATAGAACATCAGAGAATCAAATGATTTGGTCATGTGGGAAAAATTTAATAAAATCAGCCAGCAGCTACAGCATAATACATGAGAACAGCAGGCTATAAAGCAAAAGGCCGATCAAAAAAGATATGGCTGGGGGGAGTAAAAGAAACACTAGAGAAATGCAACATGATAATAACACAAACTGCGCAACTAGCAAAAGACAAGAAACTAAATATAACTCTTCTCTGTGCACTCTGCGACATAAGCGGTAGAACAAAAGAAGAACAAGTATTTTATGTCTTACAAGAATATTTTGTTTAGAAGTAACGTTAATGAGTGGATGCAGAGTGGACATAGTAAGTAAATTTAAAGAAAAGAGAAATCTGATCAATTCCGTAATGTCCATGAAATGAACTTATATTTTCAAGACTTTAAAATTTATCAAGATAGTAAATATTTTTAGAACTATCACCACATACGATGCAGAGCTCCTGTGAAGTGCTCCAGACAGCACTGGTTAAGAACCACTGGGCTACAGTATCAAACAAAAAAGTGACCAAGTGGTCACCTTCAGTTTAGAGACTCAAAATGCCAACTCTTCAAAACAGTCAACACCGCCCTAATGTGGGCTCTTGGATCCATTTTGGGTGGAAAATGAACAGATTCACTGTCCCTTCTAACAAGCATGTCACAGAAGGCAACCAATTAGGGGTGTTTGCTTCAAAGTCGCAGTGTATGTGCCTGAGAGAAGATGAACCCATGACCTTCAGATTTGCAGGCAAACTCTAGCCATTACACCACAGCAGCTCCCAGATCTCCATATGGCCCTCATAAACAAAACACAAGCAACAAAACACAAGGTACACCTTCTGTCTAGACTTACCAACAGCATGACCAAACAAACTGCGGACTCCCAAGGCCAGACCCTCAGCAAACTCTTCTGGTCCTTGAATAGCTCCCTGAATACAGATTTCAAGTGTTTTATTACAATTATGTACAGTAGGAAAAACTCAGTATTGTCATACTTGGGGGCCACGTCAGCGCAGTCGATAGGAGACTCGCTTTCAAATCTAGCTGTGGCTCGCTGCAGCCCACGGCTGGTGTTCGATACCAGACGGTTCGCGGGGTTCACCCAGCTTCTAGGTAATGGGTACCAGAGTTACCAATCTGGGGTAACGTCGCCGTAGCTAGATGTTGCATGTGGACGGCGACACAGGCGGACAGTTTCTTATCAGCTATCTGTACTGGTGGCACAGCACTAAAGGTTTATAACTGTGTGCAATGAAGCTGCTTCACATGTCCCGACTTCACCATTACAATGATTTACAGTAGGACTTGTTACATGAGCATTCATAGAAAAGCACATAATTCATAATACCAGGCATATATCCGTTTTATTTTCAGCGCTTCATTGACTAATGTATATATATTTCTTATCAGTCGTACATTAAGTCATCATCTTCACGTAGCAGGTCTTTTGCAGAATATCACTCTCATCACGGTCTGTCTGAAATTAACTCAGTCTCTGGCCACCTCTCCCACCTCGTGCACTTTCATATCCAAGGAATCCTTTATATACTGTGCCCATTAAGTACCCGTGAGTAGGTTGAAACCTATGCTCCATTATGGGATGATAGGCAGAAGAAGAAGAAGCATCTGAATATATAAAGAACTCTAACAGAAAAAAAGAAAGACATAAAAAAAGAAAGCCAATAAGATAGAAAGAAAGACATAAGGAAGTAAGGTAAGAAAGTTTTAAAGAAAGAAAGAACAAGAAAAGGCATGAAACACAAAGAAAAATGAACGAAGTATATCATGTGTGATAAACTCATTCTCATGAATTCCAAGCATTATACAATACATTCTGTTACTTTTAGCATTTGGCCATAGCATACTACAGAATTCCCAATTGCCTCTTTGAAATTTTATATTCATGATTTAAAATATTTTTAATAGTGGTTATTTCTCTCCCTAAGCAACAGCAATGAACTGTTCAAGGATTGACAGAGTTAATTTAAGAGACAGATATGATGGACAATATTTCACACTGATCTGTCCACTATAAGTATGTAGTTAACTCACCGTCATAACCCTTGCATGCACAGACCAGCACAGTCTGTGAAGTGAACTATTTGGAGTCCCAGAAGGGCTGACTGCAGCAATAAGGAAAGCAGTAAAATCATGGGTGTGCTACTCCCACAGGGTATAAATACACGATCCTTGTAGGAGAAGACTGTTGTGTTGCTGGAGTGCTCGAGTATGCCCCGACTAAGTATATGATGTACAAACATATTAACAAGTTGTCTTCCTGGCCTACCCTAGCACAACTATCTACATTCCAGTGAAGGAATTTCCACAGCTTAGATGAAAATAATTTGCAGGAGAAACACTTGCACATCGCATCACCATATTTTCAACATGTTGACTGTTGCACATTAGCCAACAATCCTAATAGATCTAGGCTGACAAAAACCAGTTTTATATCTGTTCCAGGGCCTTCTGGTGTAGTGTAAAGGGCAATGCATGAGATGACAGACTTGCAAGTGATGCTCACGCAGGAAACGGATGAGCAATGAACAGGGCTGATATACTGAATGCCCTCAGAGAGACGGCTTGAATACATTAATCAAGTAATGATTGTGAATCTGCAAAACTGACAAAATTACAAAAGTGGTGAAGCCAGACAAGATTGCTACATAGGGGCTATCAGAAGAACAGTAAACAAACACTACACAAAAGCCACTACACGCTGAGGGAGATACTGAAGAGGGGATCTGAGCACTTATGGACTGAATGGTTTGATGTGCGATGATGATAATTTGTCGACTAACTAACTAGCAACATCCTGTCACCCATGGTGCATAGTTTGGAACTTAAGGAGTTAATAAGTGTACAACCAACATCATCATCACAAACGCTCTGTCTCCATCTTCACCTGCCAATGCAGAGTTTATTTTTTTCTTTTTCTTTCTTCTTATCGTTCACTTGCTGCAAACTTCAGTGGAAAGTCCTGGTTGCTCATCCACTTCTGGACTTGTCCCAGAAACTGAGTTCTTGTATGCTCATCTGTTTTACAGATTAGTTTATTTGTGTGTAGACTGCTGGTTTCTTGAAGCAGATTCACTCTAACTTTGAAAAAAAAAAAAAAACCCACTGACCCTGTCAATGCTGGCCAGGCCCCAGTAGAAAACCTGTTTCTAGGATGACGAGGTAGAGTTGTAGATTGGTCTTGACCAGTGGAGTCCAGGTCCTGCTGCAGCATCAAGTGTGATTCGGCACCTCTGCAACCCACGAGTTCCAACACTAATGGTGCCAATGAAGCTGCATTACTTACTCATCCATGTCTTTAAGGCCCTTAGGAAAGGCAAAGAGTAGTAGCACCGCACACTATCCAGCATGGGGTTAAAGGTGACTGGTTAGGTACATTTGGTCTTCAGATCAACTAGCCGCGTTCTATAACACGTTATTCAGCCTCAAAAGCTGATCCTTGCTCACAATTTTGAGTAAGGTCTAGACTTACCTTACACCTTTTACACCCACCGATAAATTGACCTTTAATTGTGGAAAGTTGTTTTCAGGCTTTAAAACTTGACCAATGTATGCCAGAGTTTATGGTAAAATATAGTGTGACCAAGCCATGGGAAGATTTAGCATGAGAAAGCTCAATGCCTATGCTCCATTAGAGGATACAAATCAGCAGGAGGAAGAAGAGGAGCAGAGAAGACATACCAGAAGCAGAACAATGGACTGACCTGGTATGGTTCATAGAAGAGGTCTTCAATCCCCTCAGACAATCCCCGGAGGAGTCCAAAGGGATTGCCCAGCACATCCAGACCCAGCACCAGAACATACATCTGTTTGATTGCCTACAAGAAAAGACATGAAATGTAAACATACTAACAGATACATCACATATGGGAGCCACCATGGTGTAGTAGCTAGACTCTCACCTGCAGATCTGAAGGTTGTGGGTACAGGTCCTGGTGGAGCCGGACTTTTATTCTTCAAAAAATGACCTTGGCTGCCAGGTCAACCCGGCCTTGAATGGGCACCAGGTAAAGTCCTGGGAATTAAAGGCGGCCAATATGATGCTGACCGCATCGCCCACCAAGTGCCGAAAGTCTATATGTGTAGGTCTGTATGCCCAATAACACTGTAGGCGTGGAAAAGGGTTTAATACCATTTGATTCAGGTCTCTCTCGACGAGGTGATAGGCTGCTTGTCAAAAGCACTACTCAGAACATAGACTCTGTACCACAGTGATGTGAAGGTGAAGAGCACATACTCTGTACCACAGTGATGTGAAGGTGAAGAGCACATACTCTGTACCACAGTGATGTGAAGGTGAAGAGCACATACTCTGTACCACAGTGATGTGAAGGTGAAGAGCACAGACTCTGTACCACAGTGATGTGAAGGTGAAGAGCACAAACTCTGTACCACAGGGATGTTACTGTGAAGAGCACATACTCTGTACCACAGGGATGTGAAGGTGAAGAGCACAGACTCTGTACCACAGTGATGTGAAGGTGAAGAGCACAGACTCTGTACCACAGGAATGTTACTGTGAAGAGCACAGACTCTGTACCATCAAGTGTGGTTTGGCCCTTCTGCAACCCACGAGTTCCAACACTAATAGTGCCAATGAAGTTGGCTGAGCAAATCATTTGCTTTACTGTCGACAAATAAACATATTTAGGGATCAACAAAATCATTTGTCTTACTGAACAGAAACTATGTATTATGCTTCACTGGATACAAACAAGGCAATCATAATCTACAATTAATCGGATAACACAGTGACTAATAACAGGACAAATGATAACTCACCAACATTTAAACAACCTTACATGCTCATAAGTGTCAAATAACTAGACAACTGACAATTCACCAACATTTAAACAACCTTACATGCTTATAAGTGTCAAATAGCTGGACAACTGACAACTCACCAACATTTAAACAACCTTACATGCTCATAAGTGTCAAATAACTGGGCAACTGGCAACTCACCAATATTTAAACACCTTATACACTCATAAATGTCAAATAGCTGGACAACTGACAACTCACCAACATTTAAACAACCTTACATGCTCATAAGTGGCAAATAGCTGGACAACTGACAACTCACCAACATTTAAACAACATTACATGCTCATAAGTGTCAAATAGCTGGACAACTGACAACTCATCAACATTTAAACACCATACATGCTCATGAGTGTCAAATAACTAGACAACTGACAATGCACCAACATTTAAACACCATACATGCTCATGTGAATGTCAAATACCTCACTGGTCACTCTAGCGTTGAATAAATTCTCTTTCTCACTCTCAATTCAACCACTCATCCATCCTCCACTCTATTACATCTCTCCACTGATCAAGTGGTCAACCAACAACTCACCTGCCTGCTATTGACTGATGATAGTGTTACATTGCGATAGGAGGAGACATGGGACTCACAACCAATGGTGGCTGCAAGTGTGAGTAGCAAGACCCGCCTGCTTTAAGAAAAGTCTTCCACAGATATAGTATTGGATTTTATGACTGTTTTCAACATCTGTGTTTAGTCTTTTTCTTCTCCTGTTACAGTTAGCTCTCATCGTTTTTGCAATAATTTCTTTCTTCATTCTCATGCCCTTCCTGACATCTTCTACCCATCTTTAATTCACCACACAGGATGCCCACCATGGTGTCTCATTAACAAATTCACTGGTCACCATCGCACTGAGAAAACTATATCCAGTCAACGACTCTCCTACCCAATACATTGTCTTTTCTGTCCACTGAGGCATCTAGCAAATACAAACTCACCTGTCCACTGTAATGTCTAATGAATTCACTGGTCATCATTGCACTGAGAAAACTATCCAATCAATGACTCTTCTACCAATTAAATTGCTTTGTCTGTCCACTGAGGCATATACAACTCACCTGTCCACTGTAATGTCTAATGAATTCACTGGTCAGCTGAGAGTTGTTGTAGAAGGAATGTTGTCTTTCAAAGTACCCTAGCCTGGATTTTAAAAAAAGCACATCCAGTTGAGAACTTTATATTTTACAATTAATAGATGGTATTAAAACGACATAAGCAGTGGAATATATAAAGCTAATAATAGAGAGGTTCCTGGTCCCCATTCGGGGTGTGGTGGTGGTGGTGGTGGGGGGTGGGGGGGGGGGGCCTCACTGTTTTCCTAACAAACATGTAGTAAAAGGCCATAAATTAGGAATTTTGTTCATCCAGGTCACAGCGCATCGGCCTGAGTGGCAAGCAATCGACAGTCTGCATACAACTAAGCCAGATCTGTAAAATGGTTGTGCACATGAAATTCAGGTTCTGGAACAAGACTTTTCCAGAACTGGACAAACAACCAGGAATTGTTGACGAAGTTTTCAGCCAGTGAACACGAAGAATAGGTGATTCTTTCTTTATCTAATTTTGAGTCAAATAGTGTGCAAGCTTGAACACTGACTTCCATTAGCGGGTTTCCTCACCAACAGTTATGCACTCCATGTACATCCCTTCGCTAGTCAGTTTGCCGGCATGGCTTCCTATTCTGTGATTTTCTGTAACACACTTATTTGGCTGGCTCCATACCTTTTTTCCTAAATACATTGTAAATAAGAGGACAAATAAGAGAAGCGACAGGCCGAGTGATTAAAACGTGGGGCTCTCATGCAGGAGACCCATGTTCAACCCCAATGAGAGACTGGAATTTTTATGTCGGGGGCAATATTTAACATCCTAAGCTGCACAGTCCATGTCGACAGCAGTAGCCATTTTAAATACATATTGTGGTGAGTACCGGCACCATTTTTTCTAGGGAAAGGAGGGGGGGGGGGGGGGGGGGGGGGGAATTTATCTGACACAGACCATACAACTGTAGCTGCTGCAAGCATCTTCTTTCAAAGAGACAAGCAAAGATACTGTATGCATAAACCAACTTACTTGAACACAACATCTTGAACGTCAGTGAGGACCACACCCACACTCTGGAGGAAAACCCCTAAGATGTTTGCTTGTGGGGTGTCACTCAAAGACCCACCCTGCAGCGAGAAGCTCAAGTGGATCTGGAAACAAACATAATCATGTATTTAAATCTGTGTTCTTCAAGTTTGATTACATGTATGGACTGGCAAAATAGGGAAGTTATGAGTTGGATTATCTACACAGCACTCCAGACACCCACCATAGGTGCTCAGATTCCCCTTTCAGCATATTTATCAGTGTCGCACGGTTATTAGTGCTAGTCCTACCCTGGTTTACAGGACTTCTTGTTCGTCTGGTCTGCCTCTCATGCTTAGATGTGCTGATCTTTACTCCTTATTCTCATATTCTTAGCAGTGATGTGGACACACTGCTTCCAAAATCCTCAGAATGCCCGATCTCTCTAAGGACACTGACAATGTCTGCATGATTCATAGGCTGGCCATTTGCAACTAATGCAGAACCTGCCAATCTATCAGCTCTTTCATTGCCTACAACATCAGCATACCCTAGGACAAACAGAGAGTTTTGCAATGACACAATCCACTGTCTGTGTATGTAGCCTGCCTCGACTGGATCATGCTCACAGAATCACTCAGCACACAAACACACACACATACATGGGAATAGTCTTGTGACTCCAGCCACAAGAAAGCTTGTGTCACCACCATCAACTCCATCGTCATGCTATTGGTATTCAAGGAGAAGGCATCATTGGCTTCATGGACTGTTCTACCTGAAGAGCAAGCTCTGAATGCCGATTCACTCTTATGTCCTAAAAAATAGACTCGTCTGTGTAGATTAATACATCTGTCTCATCTGACTTGTCATTGATAAGCTCACAGACCTCGGCACTGACAGCAAAGGAATTCTGCTTCCGACAACTCCTATCAAGTGTGGCGACACAGGAGAACGTGAGATTCAGTCTTTCGGCAAGTTTCCATTCCTCACCAGGGTGGTTGTCTGTAAGACTGCAGTCCTGGTTAATATCATCCTCTGCTCTACTAAGCCATGATTTGCCCCATTTTAGTCTGTTGTCCTTTTTCCTGAAGAGCATGTGCAGTTTCAGATCAGAGTTTATCTTCAGGTAATTTGCAAGCCCTCCAAATCTTGATCCTGTAGTCTTGGTAGTGAAATCAAGAAAGTATCTCACTACTACAGAAGACGTGTCTCTTGTGCACCTCAGATTTATGTGCATGGCTTCATGTTGCACCTTTAGGGGGAAAACAGCGGAAATAGTTTCAAGAACCACCTGAAAGCTAACTTAAAAAGCAGAAACAAACAAAAATGTAGAAAGCAGTTATTTGTTAAATCCAATATGACATAACTACAATTTTCAGAGAATGCAACACATGCTTTTACTTAGAGGTTACAAAATCTGACACACATTGCTGGAGCGTTGTTTCTGATAGTTGAAGCACTGTTATAACATCCAGTCAATTTATGTCTGGTTATTATTACTGACATGGCTGAGAAAGTCTTTTCACACAAATATGAAACTTTAGGACAAAACGTAAAACAGCATATGCTAGCAGACCATCAAGACACTTCTGCGACCACAGATTGAAGAATGATGACTGGAATAGGGCTAAAAAGTGCAGCCCAAGTTTGGGAGGCTCAAAATAAAATGGATATGAGGTAAAGCAGTCATATGCAGGATGTGATAGTTACCTGGGTAAGCCCAGAACCGGAGCACCATGTACTTATTGGCTCTGCCTTTCATGGAAGCCTCCTTTAATGGCAAGGAATGCCTATTTTAAGCCCCTACCATCCCTTGAGGGTCTGGGGGTTGACCAATCTGTTCTGGATAGGCCTATCTGGTGCAGAACAGGGGATGAAGAAGTCACCTCACACATGAGGCTGCTAAGTGCCCCACAGAACTAACCTGGAATGTTGAAAACAGAATCGACATCACAGCACTCGAGACACCACCATAAAAGTTCCATCCCCATCTTCAGCAGCAAACGAAGAGTTCCAATTCCGATGGCACGAGTAACTGTCTGATTATATATCCATCTCACTGTTCCCTTGAGTGTTAAGCTTCGGCCAGATCCCCTGGTAACTCCTCACAGCGCCATTCTCCTCAGACCGTAATGATCTATTTGCGCTTCCTCACTGTTCACTCGCTCCAAGAGGGTACTCACAACGTCTAGCTAATCATACATCAGTTCACCACCAAGTGGTGGAGAATTGGCCAGTCCATCTGCCTCTTAACTTCCCAACACACCGGCATGACCTGGAGAGAATATCCAAAGGATACTAACTATTCTGGGACCTCTGAAGTGATGTTGCCACTCTGCACAGAGCATACCTGTCTCCACCTTTCTCAACATGCTCTGTGAGTAACTAACTTGGAAGGCTACCCTGATAAATAAATGCCTAATGAAACTGAAAGTGTCAGCTGAAAGCCTCACATATCACAGCTACGCTGTAAACAAGCACAATATCACTCAGACAAATGACAAAGAAGAGGAGAAGAAACAAAGATAATAATGAAAGAGAGTTCAATTTAATCAAGAAGATAATAAAGAAAGATTCAAGACACACTCAGGTAAGATAACAATGAATTAACAAGTTCCTACCTTGATTGGGGAAATGTGGAAGTAATCATAAAAGCTGACTCGTTTGGCATGCATGGACACCCCAGCCTCTTCCTTTAACTCTCTCTTGGTCAGGTTCACATCCTCCTTGAACTCTGCCACCTGTCATGCATCAGTAAACAAAATATGTTCAGCAACCAGTTAAGTTTAAAAAACAAAAAAAATTTACTAGAGTGAAATATGCAAGCAATCCATGTCACTGGGGGTCAGAAAGAGAAATAAGAGATGTAAAATAGCCAAAAGGCAAAGAGATTAGAGAAATGTCTGGACAACTGCTGCTATCAACAACAAGTTTAGAAGAAGACAGATTTACTGACTACTCATTTAAGAATCAACATCACAGCACACGGGGCATACCCAAGGATGCTGCATCTCCCGCAGCAGATGTCTGAAGGTTTAGATGCTAACACTTCCCATAGGACACTCATTATACCCTCATCATTTTCTGTCACTCATACATCCCGCCTTGCTGGGTCCACTCCTAATTCCATGTTCATGCATGTTCACACATGTTATTTCATCTAATCTTGTATCTTCTATCAGCCTAAATCAGAATATCTCCCTATAATACACAGAAGACGGAAATACCCTGGGTACGTTCTGAGACAAAGAACCTGAAATGACAAACATACAAACATATCAGTTATAAAAACAACTAAACTGGGAAACAAATGGATTGGGGAGGTAAGGACATCCAAGGGAAACAAGATATGAATGTTGCCTGACTGCATTACATACACAATATCAACAGGACTGGACCTCAATACCTGTATGTTTCATGTCCTGCATTCATACATCTTCATATCATAGAAAAGGCAGACCTCGACATTTTCTACCTGTCTGTAATTCATCATTTCTATCTAGCATGGTAAGGAACCAATCAAACAACACAGACATAAATCTGACCTCCTTTGCGCGCAGCGTCTGCACGTCTGATGCAAACATGGCCAGCAACTCATTCAGTATGCCCTGGTCTATTTTCAGATTCATCTCCTGAATCAGGACCTTGAAATATCTGTAAAATAATAAAACAGAACAAAATAAGTGGTCTTCTTCTTTTTCTGTGTTTATCCAAAGATGTAATTGCGTTGTGCCCGTTTACAGCATGGCTGCGATATTTGTACCTTTTGGCCGACACATCTGACTTCTGTGGGCTTTCGTTGATCGGGTTAGCCTTCCCGGCTAATAAATAGTCAATTTTCTATAAATAGTCAATTTTCTATAAATAGTCAATTTTCTATAAATAGTCAATTTTGTATAAATAGTCAATTTTCTATAAATAGTCAATTTTCTATAAATAGTCAATTTTCTATCTTTTCTTCTTCAGCATTCCTGGACTTGAGGTTCTTGCTGAGTCGTAGCCTGAAAAAATTAATAATCATAATCCTTATCATGTGTTATTCCAACAGGCGTAGGTTGTCTTGTCTCACACGATCACCAGAAACATGGATCAAGTCAGTGTTTGTCTTGTCCCATCCTTATGGCTAAGCCATCCAGGTACTTATCTCTTTGCCTTCCCTTTGCTCTCATTTCCATTATTTCCTAGTTAGCATCAAGTTCTCAGAATACCCTGGACAGATAAAAGAGTAATGAAGATGACTTGAAAGAAAGTGACTCACGAAGAGAACTGAATGCCCGCATCAAAAGGAGACAATCTACATTGTTTGATAATGTCATGAGAAGGAGAAAACTGGAGTACATCGTGATGGTGGGAAAGTTAGAGGGGAACGAATGAACGAACAAACTTTATTTTCAAAGGGTTACAAACTGGGCATACATGCATGCACACCCACATACATGCATGCACACCCACATACATGCATGCACACCCACATACATGCATGCACACCCACATACATGCATGCACACCCACATACATGCATGCACACCCACATACCCCCCCCCCCCCACCCAACCACCCCCCCCCCACCACACACACGCACGCACGCACACACATACATACACACACACACATACATACAAATAGGATCACACATAGTCACCCACATACATACAGACATGCATACACACATTTACAATCACAGTCACCTACATACATAAATACATACATACATACGCGTGCACATACACACACACACACACATTCACCTACATACTTACAAACCTAAATATACATACATATATCCAAATGCATACACATATACATACACATACACGCCTACAATCACACATAAACACACACACCCACATAATACTTACATATACACACACATATAGATACATATACACATACATCCATAACTGAAAAGAGGTTAAGGGAAACCAAGGAAGAAGAAGCTGGAAGTCTGACGTCATGGCATGGAATATCGTCTGTGTCAGAATTGATTAAAAGCAGACATGATAGAAGGTTGTGAACTAAACATGACTACCAATGTCACATGGCAGAGACTATCAAAAGAAGATTAATGTCTCCTAAGGAACTGCACAACCACCAAATAACACTGGTACACTAGAGTTTGTGAACCTTTAACACAGGGGTTCTCAACCTGTGGGCTGCGACCCAAATGAGGGTCGCCTAAGACCATCAGAAAAGACATATTCATTGAAGATATGAAGCAGCAACGAAAATAATTGTAAGGTTAGGGGGGGGGGGGGGGTGTTGACCAGGACACCTGGAACTGTATTGAAGGGTCGCGACATTAGGAAGGTTAAGAGCCACTGCTCTAAAATTTCACAACCCTGCGACTATATCTGTCACTGGGCAGACTGTCTGTACCTTTTCTAATTGTTTACATAAACTGGCTGGCATGCAGAAGTGCTGAACCATAACTGGTGGCAGTGAACCAGCACCAGAGCTCAAACTGGTCAAGACCCCTACTTAATCTCTCCGAAGGTCATCTTAGCCAACAGGTTTCCAATTACTGGGAGCCTGGCCAATGTAGACAAGATTGATGTTTTCTTCAAAGTCAGAGCATCTCTGCCTGAGTGGCCAGGAGCCAACCGTCTGCAAACAAATAAGCCAGGTCTTTAAAATAGAAGTGCATACAATACTCAAGTCCTGGAACAAGACCACAGTCCAGAAGTGGACAAACAACCAGGACTTTCTGTCATAGTTTACAGCTGGTGAATGCAAAGAATGAACAAACTTTATTTTCAAAGAGTTACAAATGGGGCACGCAGGCTGGTCTTACATTCGGCCCTTCCAAACACCCGTCTTTCATACAGCAATTGTATTTTATCAATACAGCCTGTCATGTTCATATAAAAATAAGCTTAATATGAATATCAAGGAAAAACACAAAGAAGAAGAAGAAATATATGAGCGTTCTGTATTTGTGAAAGACCTGACTATAAGAAGAAAAGGAAACAAACTTACTTAATCTGCATCAGTTCACTGTGTTCATGAATCCTGGTCATGAGACTGATTTCAACAAATGGCTTCGGAACTGTAGAAATAAAGACAATACTATTGTAATAAAGACAAGGTTACTGAAATAAAGACAACACTACAGAAATAAAGACAATACTATTGTAATAAAGATAATACTACTGCAATGAAAGCTACTTTATTGTAAAAAAGACAACACTATTTAAATAAGAACAATGCTATAGAAATAAAGACAACACTATAGAAAAAAAAGACAATACTATTGAAATGGATGTTACACATAAAGTTCAAGTTCTGGGTCAAGACTAAAGTCCAGAAGTGGACAAACAACCAAAACCTTCTGCCCCAGTTTACAGCCTGTGAACCCTAAGAAGAAGAAAAAGAAGTAATAAATCCTGTATGGGGGAAGGAATCTGACATATTTACAACCAGCATTAAGAGCCACTGCTCTTGAACAATAAACATGCTTTTTTTTAAAGTACAAAAACACTCAAAGGAAAGGCAAGCTGGACATACAGTTAGAGTGGTGCTAGTACCATCAGAACTGGAAGCAGTACCATCAGAACTGGAACTAGTACCATCAGAACTGGAACTAGTGCCATCACAACTGGAACTAGTGCCATCACAACTGGAACTAGTGCCATCAGAACTGGAACTAGTGCCATCAGAACTGGAACTAGTGCCATCAGAACTGGAACTAGTGCCATCAGAACTGGAACTAGTACCATCAGAACTGGAACTAGTGCCATCAGAACTAGAACTCTGTGCTGGCAACAGAAGATAAGGGATAGAGCACTGATGAGAATGTCCCAAATGCTGTGATATTGGTTCTTAATTCAGCTCAACATAACTCATCATATATTTCATATACTATCTCTCCCATGTGTGTGAGTGTGTATACATGCATACATGTGTGCATATGTGTGTTTTAACAGCTTTAAGACATTCAACAGAAACTGGTAAACCATCAACAAGCAGTGTTATGGGATTTTAATGATGATGATGATGATGATGATAATTCACAAGTGACAAATAAAACCCAGTTGAGATGAATGTGAGTACTCACCACTGTCAGCAGCGACAGACTTTGGAGGCGGCAGAGGTGACAATATTGTGGGGAAAATGGCTTGTCGCAGCTGATTGTCAAACTGAAGTTCGGAGGTAAGAGAATAAAATATTGTGTCAAATACTGGAAACAGACAGAAACAGTAACACAGTGACTAGACTCTCACCCGCTAGTCTGACGGTCAAAGATTTAAATCCACATCAAGGCAGCTTTAATCAAAACTGACCTTGGCTCCCTTGGATACCAGGAAATGTCTTGGGAAGGAAAGGCAGATGGCATATGTTGACCACATCATCCAGCCAATGTTGACTGGTGCATAAAAATAGAGGACTAACACTATGGTCTATAAAAATTCAGGTCTAACGTTATATACCTAATGTGCCAAAAGGTTTTCCATTCCACTCTAGAAAAATAAATAAAAAACTTGATCAGGTTGAACGAGGTCACATATTTGATTTTTATTTTATTTTTGTTGGGCAGCTCGCTGCCAATAGTCTGCAGTTACATTTGTGGTCTTAAAAGGCATGGAAAATTGTCCTTTATCAATGTCATCATTACCAGGTGAATTCCTTGCCAAATGAGTTGGGCAATCATGTTTCTGCAAAAGATTTATTCTTTTCTATAATCATGTTGGTTGTTACAATGTTTCAGTTCTTTTTTTTTATTCCCATGGGCTTTTTCTTTTCAATAATAATTCTAGTTGTTCAAATTTCCATTCTTTTTTCATAACTTTCCTCTCTCCAATAATAATTCTAGTTGTTACAAATTTCCATTCTTTTCTCATAACTTTCCTCTTTCCATTAATAATTCTAGTTGTTACAAATTTCTATTCTTTTCTCATAATTTTCCATTTTCCAATAATAATTCTAGCTGTTACAAATTTCCATTCTTTTCTCATAACTTTTCTCTTTCCAATAATTCGTTGTTACAAATTTCCATTCTTTTCTCACAACTTTCCTCTTTCCAATAATAATTATAGTTGTTACAAATTTCCATTCTTTTCTCATAACTTTCCTCTTTCCAATAATAATTCTAGTTGTTACAAATTTCCATTCTTTTCTCACAACTTTCCTCTTTCCAATAATAATTCTAGTTGTTACAAATTTCCATTCTTTATTCATAACTTTCCTCTCTCCAATAATAATTCTAGTTGTTACAAATTTCCATTCTTTTCTTATAACTTTCCTCTTTCCATTAATAATTCTAGTTGTTACAAATTTCCATTCTTTTCTCACAACTTTCCTCTTTACATAATTCTTCATAGTTGTTACAGTATTTCAGTTCTATTCTCATGACTTTCCTATTTCCATAAATCTTTCCACTTGTTACAAAATACAAGGAAGCTTTCAAATGAAAACATTAAAAGTGTGAGTGAAAATTTGAATATGCATGCCACTGTCTTGTCACCTGTCAGTATTGTTGCAAATACGTCAAAACAGTGTGACTTCTGTGACAGACTGTTCACGATCAGGTCAGGCACACAAGCAGTGACCCCAGAGTCCACACAAGCAGTGACCCCAGAGTCCACATAAGCAGTGACCCCAGAGTCGCCTGCAGTCATTTTTAAAACTTTCTACTGCACTCCCACACTTGCTGGACTGACAGGAATGCAACACCAAATGGGAGCTTCAATAACCAAGGAATTTCTATCAGTTTCACCCATTCACTGATTTCACAAAATAGATAAAAGAATTCCACTTCTCTTTAGTTCATATCAAAATTGGTGCGACCTTGTTTAAACTGTCATTATGATGTCACTGTGTTCATCTACATTGTGTTGTCACATGCTTAACACTCTTGACACTTCACAAACAATACTGACAAGTTATATGACAACGGATTTCGTTTCTGTAATTTCTATCACATTTCAAAGATTTTTATTTCAAACCAAATTGTATTTGAGGTATAGAGGCATACAGACATAGGTGGCCAAGACATAAATACCTGAAGCTTGTTGATCTTGGCGTGAAACTGCATGGAGTGCGGAGACTTCCTCAGCTGAACCCAGATGCCATCTTCAAAACTGCGTCTGATAATGAACTGGTTCGGCTTGATCATCCTCATACTCTCAAAGTCCACCTTGGAAGTTGAAACAATGAGTCACACAAAATAGCTCATAATTGGAAACAGAGCATTAATCAATCTAGTTTCTACACCCCCCCCCCCCCACTAAATTTTTGGGTATGTATGTATATGTATGAGTGTGTATGTATAGGTATGAATGTGCGTGCGAGCAAGCATGCTTGTTGTATGTGTGTGCAATGGGTGTATGTATGTATTTATATATATATGTGTGTATATATATATATATATATGTTTGTATATATATATGTGTGTGTGCACGCGGGCACACGTTTTTCCCCCCTTAAATTTTGTATTCATGTTATGAATACTATTCACATAATATGCTTTGCTGATAAAATACAATTGCAGTCTGAAAGATAAGAAGGGCAGAATGTATGATGGCCCTGTATTCCTAATTTGTGACCATTTAAAAATTAGGTTTGTTGGTTCTCTCTATGCAACAAGCCAATAATAACGTTCACTATGAGAACAACTGACTACTGTAACTTGTAAAACCTAAACTCTCTTTTCCAGTTTCAAACAAACCAGATGAGAGTGTCAGTCTTCTTCTTTTTTTTTCCCCTTACCTTTCATCTCCTAATGAAGCTAACAATCTCAAACATCTTACAGTTTGCCCTTTGTCTCACACCAACTGACACAATTGGTTGACACAATTCTGCAGAGAAAAGTTGGGATGAAGTAAACAAAAAGAATTACTGGTCACTAACCTCCATTTTGTTTTCCAGGCTGATAATGGCAGACTTGGGTTTGCCAGTTTGCACCTCTAGCAAGTACTTCTGGTATGCAAGCTCAAGCAGAACAGCATCTTTGATCTTCAGAGCCCTAAACCTCTTCCTCTTCTCCTCCCAGATCACACCAGAGCTGTGAGCCAATGTTGAGAACAAAGACAAATGTAGTTTTTAAAAAAAGGGAAATAACTTGCACACAGTAAACTCTAGCTTAAATAAACTTCTAAAATAAGGGGCCTGAATCAATGAATGTGCATGCAATCATAAACACATACAGAGTGTGTAGGGGTGTGTGCCTATGTACGTGTGAATTTGATCTGACATTCAAGCCCACCAGGACTGTACATTGATCAAGTAACAAACAGTGACACGAAGTGCCACCATTCAGATGAGAATCCCCAAGATGCAAGTCTCAGAAACTTCACTCAACCGAACGATTATATTAGGGTTCCAAAAAACAGCCAGGATAGGGCTTTAAAATGCAAGTGTAAGTGTGACTGTTTGTGTATGAGTGTGAGTGTAAAAATGTGTGTATATATGTGTGCATATGCATGTGTGTACGAGTGTGTGTGGTGTGTGTATATGTGTGTGTGTAAAAATGTGTGTGTATATGTGTCCATATGCATCTGTGTATGAGTGTGTGGTGTGTGTGTGTGTGTAAGCGTGCACATGTGTATAAATATGTGTATGAGTGTGTGTGTGTGTTTGTGTGTGTGCATACGCAGGATTTGAAGGAGAGAAGATACAAATCAATTTTATTATAAAAGGACTCGGGAGCCATAGTATTACAGTTTGTAGCTGGCCTGCAAACCAGCCAGGTGGCCAGGAGTTCCAATCCATTTCAAAGCCAATTTTCAAAACCTGACCCAAGCTACCATGTTGGTTCAGCCTTAAAACATCAGCAGGAAACATCCAGGACAGTCAACAAGATGTAGACCACATCACCAACCAAGTGCCAGCTGGCCTATACAAATATGTAGCTGGCACTATATACTCATTGGCTGTGAATGTTGATGAGGAGTCTATTAGGGTAAAATGGAGATACTGAGCACCTATCAGAGTACAATGAAGCAGCTCTTATAAATAATTACTGTTAGTAAAGAGTTTGCAGTACATAGTTTCTACACTCGTTTTGTAATAGCCAAATAATAGTTTAAAGTACCCAGCATTGACACCTCTACCTTGTAATGACCATACAACTAAACAGTGTACTCAACATTTAGCTTGCAATGACCATTTCAGTAATACCAATATAGGTAAAAAATTTAAAGTACCCAGCTTAGACCTGCTACCTTGTAATGACCATACAAGTGAACAGTTTAAAGTACCCAGCTCTGACCCTCTAATCTGTAATGACTATATAAGTGAACGGTTTAAAGTACCTAACTTTGACCACCCACCTCACCATCATCTAGCACATCCTTTGCAGAACACCATCTGAAATCTGGTCTCTTGTCAGCTCTTCTGCCTTGTGCATTTTTCTGCCCAAAGTATCACTTATATCTTGTGCTCATCTTTATACCGATCAGTCCCTGCCTCTCTTTACTGGTACAATTGAGCTGAGTTGAGTTGAGTCAAGAATTGACATCACAGCACTCGGGGCATTCCCATGCATGCTCAGTCCTCATCTTCAGCAGCCAGCAGAGTTCCAACACTGATGGTACCGGTCACAATCTGGTTAAAAGTCCGTCTTGCCTTTCCTCTGAGTGTAGTCAGACCCTCTGGTTACATCCAGGTGCCTCATTCTCTCCAGGCCATAATAATCTTCTTTCTCTACTTTTTCCCAAAGAGTTTTAACACGTCTGCCTTGACATGTATCAATTCACCACCCAGTGGTGCAGATCCAGCAAATCTGTCCGCCTGTTCATTATCGACCACAAAGGCACAGCCTGGAGAAAAGATCCAAAGTATGCTCACTACCCGTGACCTTTCCAGTGAAGCTTGCCATTCTGCTTTGAACCTTACCCAGCTTTGAACCCCTACATAGTAATACCCATATAAATAAGTTCTAAGTACCCAGCCATGAAACCTACCTTGTAACATCAATAAAAGTAAAGAATTTAAAATACTCAGGTTCGAACACCTACCTTGTAATGCCCATGTAAGCCAGTTCTAGCAGCTTCTCGTTGTTAATGAGAGAGAAGCCCATGTCATGAATTTTGAGGTTGATCTCCTGGTCTGCCTGCTCCAGCTCCCCAGCCTGGCAGAGTCAAGACAGGATGACAAGAACATGTTAAACTTATGAGATGGCTCAAACCTTGAAAAGAAAGCAATTACAACATGGGGAGTCCTAATTCTGCCATTTTTCTTCGTTCTGTTGCAGATAGATAATGAGCACTCCATTAGAAGTTTGCATCACAAAAGAACAACGAGCAGTTATACAACTCCTCTGGTCGGAAGGTGTCAAAAGCTGAGAAATTGTAGACCATCACCCCAATATGGGGGAAGTGCACTCTTATGTAAAACTGTGTTTTTGTGGATGGAGAAGTTTAAAAGTGGTTGAATAATTGTAACGCATGAAGAGGAAGCAGGACGGCCATCAACCTCCACAGCAAGTTCTAGAAATGGTTCTGGTGAATAGGTGAATTATCGTCGATGAGGCATCATCTGCGGTACACATTAGTCATGGTTCTGCCCATCAAATCATCCATGACAAGCTCGGCTTTCATCAAGTCTGTGCACGGTGGGTACCAAGAAAACTTCTTCAGAACACAAGCTCACTTGTGTAAAATTCAGTGCAAAAGTGGCTTCATGACCAACTGAAAACCTTTTATTTGGAAGGAATATGTCAGCTTGATGACCATTGGGCACAGCACAATTATAAGGAGGGAGATTAAGTAGACAAAAGATGTGCATAGTGAAACCCTAGCTTTGTGCAAATAAACTGTAGAATTAATGAAAAGTGTAGACAATTTTTGACTCATTCTTATCCCCCCCCCCCCCCCCCCCCCCAAAATGTGCACACACAACTCACGTTCTGAAACAATTCTCAAGTCCATAAATAGAATAACAGCCAAAACTTTCTTTCCGCCAGAGTTTACAACCAGTGAACATGAAGAAGAAGAAGAAGACTTGTCAGAAAAGTCTTAAAAGGCAGTGAGGGCTGGGCCTGGTAAAGTATTGTAGATTAAAAAGACTAGAGTTAAAGAATGTGTGTGCTTGTGTGTGAGAGAGGGAGGGATGAGAACAGAAACTGGCAAACTAGGAAGAAAGGAGTTTGGGGACAGAAAAGGGACACAAAGTATGGTGAGCAATAGGTAGGAACTAAGACATAAACATAGAAATGAAGACAGAAGATGGCAGAAATACCATAAGGACAGCACCAGGGAATCAACAAATGCATAAAACAATGAGTTACAGACAAACTCCTGCTGACCTCCTGAGCCACCGTGGCCAAGGCCAGATCTTCAGTAAACATGACCACCCTCTGCATGCCATCCAGGAAGGAGACAAAGTAGACTTTGATGTTATTCTGGGCAAAAAACTCTTCTATTTTATCCTGTTGAAGAAAAGGAATATGAAACACTTGATTTCTATATCTTTTTTACTATTAAACTATAAATATTTATTAACTAGTTCCTGTACAGAACCATCATAATTAAACAGTATGCCAGATAATATATTTATCCAAAGGTTGCCCATATGAGGACCCTAATCTTCAGGGACATAATTATCCAAATTTGCAGTTCTGTAACGAATAAATGAATGAATGAATAAATGAATGAATGAATGAATGAATGGACATCATTGCACTCAGGACATTTCCACAAGTGCTCCATCCCCTTCTTCAGTAACCAACAAAGAGCTGACATGCTAATGGTAACAGATGCAATCTGATTAAAAGTGCACCTTTGTGTCCCCTTCAATGTTGAATGTCTTTCAGAACCACTTTCCACCCTTGTTGAATTAGTCTTTCAGTATTTGGATTCCCTATCTGTTCCTTTGCACAGTCCATTTGATCCCACAGAACCTTCACCCTTCGCTTTAACATATAGTAGTTCACTGCCGAGAAGAGTGGCAGCAGCTAATCCATCAGCCTGCTCGTTACCTCGCACACCTTAAAATCCTGGACAGACAGACAATCCATGATATGCTCTTAATCTGGGTCATGTCAAGTGATGCTAGCCACTCTGATCACAGGACACCAGTTTCAATTTTCCAATGCATTCTCCTCTGTTACAATTACATGTCGGGCTGTTCTGTTCTCAAGCCATCGGAAAGCAGCTGTTACTGCCTCCACCTCCATTCTCATACTGGATGTAGTGATGTTGTATGTGAGGATCTCTGTGTGTCAGTGTCCCTTCACCTTTGCAATAAAACCTCACCCACTCTTCTTACCTCTTACCACAGACCCATCTGTATATATTATGATATATTACAATTCAATCATGGAAGAGAAGAGCTCCTCCTTACTCCACTGCACAATAATATTTGGCTGCACTTCTAGACTTTTCCATGCCCCCTCCCCCCCCCCCCCCCCCCCCCAACCCCCCCCCCAACTGAAAAACATGGCTCTAAAGAACATCCATTACAAACCTGATCTAAGGCACTTTTAACATTCTTTTTTTCCCCACAACTCCAGGTGACTTCTCTGGGCCCAGTTGGATCTGTCCAGGTGTACAGCTGAGAGTCGAGAGGCACCAGGTCAAGGGGTTCCACTGTTGAACCACTAAGGGAAATGGGAAGGTTGTTAGTAATACAGAACACAAATATTAATTTTAAAATTTAATGAACATTCTTCATCTTTTTCTTCTTTCCTTTTCCCTTCCAAACAGAACCAACTCATGCCAAATCGTCTTATTCCATGCTACTGTTTGTAGCTCACCTCATGTACTCCCTAACTTTTTAAATAACTCTCTAGCTCCCATCTCCATGTGTTTGTTTTGGTGTCGCTTTTTTACTGAGCTCCTGTGGGTTCCAGTGCAAAGACATTCTAGTTATATTTTTCTCAGGTTGTGGAATCTGTTTTGTCCTATTAGTCACAATGAGAGAATTTCTTTAGTTCTATCCAACACCATTTCATCTAACCTTGGGTCTTCAATCAGTATTCATTTGGTAATGGTCTCCTTTGTCCAGTATAAGTCCAGTAATCGGTTCTGTAATTAAAGAAACAAAATCTGCTCTTTCATTCCTACATACTCCTGCATATCCTGGACACTATATTCATGTGAATCCCTGTAATGATGAGATGCTAATGCCTGACCGCCACTTGGGGACTACTGAAGGCATAGCTTCATCACTGTAGGTAAGCATTATCTTACTGTGAGCCATCTACATTAGGCTGACAAAAAGGGGATGTTGTCTACCATCTTCATGAGGAACAGCTGTGAGAAGCCTGCAGCATGACCAGTGTGTGGTCCAGGCTCTTTCCCTTGTTGGATACCAGGGCAGATCCTCACTTGGTTGGGCAGATCCTCACTTGGTTGGGCAGATCCTCACTTGGTTGGGCAGATCCTCACTTGGTTGGGCAGATCCTCACTTGGTTGGGCAGATCCTCACTTGGTTGGGCAGATCCTCACTTAGTTGGGCAGATCCTCACTTGGTTGGGCTCACTTGGTTGGGCAGATCCTCACTTGGTTGGGCAGATCCTCACCTGGTTATGCAGATCCTCACTTGGTTGGGCAGATCTTCACTTGGTTGGGCAGATCCTCACTTGGTTGGGCAGATCCTCACTTGGTTGGGCAGATCCTCACTTGGTTGGGCAGATCCTCACTTGGTTGGGCAGATCCTCACTTGGTTGGGCAGATCCTCACTTAGTTGGGCAGATCCTCACTTGGTTGGGCAGATCTTCACTTGGTTGGGCTCACTTGGTTGGGCAGATCCTCACTTGGGAACAACTCACTGCACCTCAACAAGCATGACGAAAAAGGTGACTAAAAAGAGTTTGCTGAAATCTGATGTGCCGGGAGGTGCAGATAATGCAGCCTAGCTATTAACCACAACAGGAAAGGCTTATCACAATTTTATGGGCAAACACAAAAGTTCTCCTTGTGAGTTAACTGCTTTTGAGATATCTTGATTACATCTTTTCTCTATTTCCATGTAATTCTCATCATTCATCTATGAAACTATTAAATTCTGTAAGTAGTTAAATATTAGTGAATAAACAGAGGGTATGTTTAGTTTAAAAAAAAAATGACCTCCGAAAACTATTTTCACACACACAAAAAATGAACTTTATATAACACTCAATTAGCCCATAATTGTCTAGCCTATGTTCCCAAATAATAAGGAAATTGACCTGACCTAACTGACACCTACGAATATTGCTTTTTTTTTTCACTAACACGTATTCTCTTTGTACCAGCTGACTATGTTATCATTGCAGGCTTTGCGTGCGGTATATATCAGTGCTATCCATCATAAATCGTGTTGGCATGCATGAAGACATCTGATTGGAGGCAACAGTTTTCACACCAAAAATAAGTAAATCGGTAAAGCTCGCAAACATGCTATATTTTATGCTTTTAACCAGGTTTTTGAGTATCCCAAATGGTCACCACGAGCGACTTCGAACACAAAGAACAAGAAACACCATCCAAAACTGCCGGTTTGCATTGTTATACTGTCCAGTGGTCAATTAAAAACTTGAACGCACCACGCACAGGATGGGTGGCGGTGTAGTAACCAGTTACCGTGTGATGTGTTCCTTGGGACTCAAAGAGTTAATACTTGCTAATTTATTTTTAGTCTGAGAAGGTAAGTTCCAATTGTAAAGAAAGACTCACGTCTGTTTAATGACAACAGTACACTGTGTGGTGTGATTGACAAACAGCACTGTGGCCATTCCTGGCCTGTAGGTTTTGAAGGTCGTAATCATGGCCGACTCACTGACCTGGCACTCAGCATTCAGGCCACCATACTGTCATCATTTTCAGAAAATATAAATCAATTTAGTTTTAAAAAAAATTAACACCCACTGTTATCAAGCCATAAATAATAACAATCACAGAGAATACAATTTAAAAAAAAAAATTGAAACAAAATGAATGTAAGAGTAATAATATTTAGACGAAGGTATGCTAACATCAATACCTGCTGGGCGAAAAAAACATAAACAGTGGAATTATGTATAAGCTTAGCTACAGTCACCACTGTTTTCATCACTTTCTGAATCTTATCAAAGCATACCAAACAAGTCTGGCTTCACTGTTGGTCATCGTCTCCAAGACTATTATTAAACCATATGACACTAGTTTAAGATCCCTTGAGAGAACCTATCTACACAGATACGTACCCTACTTCCAATACTCACATTCCCGATGTGGGTAGAACCCAGCGTCATTAACAAGAATATTGGAAAAGGTGATTAGTCAGGGATTTTCTGAAATGGAACGTGTTGGGCCAAAAGGTGCAGATATCACAGTCTAGCTGTCAACCACAACACAAAAAGTGCATTTTTAAGGGTGAAGGTGGAAGAAGTAGTAGATGAAGAACAAGCGAACAAAGGAACGAACAAACTTTATTTTCAAAGGATCATAAATTGGGCACACTGGCTCCTCTTACATTTGACCCTCTTAATATAAATAAACTACATAAAAGTATGAGAGGTATATCACACAAATATGCATACATGCACATACGTGCATGCACATAACATACATACAAACATACACACATGCATATACACTCACACATGCATATACACACACCCATACATACTCTCTCTCTCTCTCTCTCTCTCTCTCTCTCTCTCTCTCTCTCTCTCTTCTCTCTCTCTCTCTCTCTCTCTCTCTCTCTCTCTCTCTCTCTCTCTCTCTCTCTCTCTTACTCATTCGCTCACTCATTCTCACAAATACACACATTCTTTCTCATAAATACCTATACATAGTATAAGAAGATGAAGAAGAGGAGGAGAAGGGGAGGAGGAGGAGAAGAAAGAAGAAAAAGAAAGAAGAGGAAGAAACAGAAGAAGAAGAAGGAGGAGGGGGAGGAGGAGATGAAGAAGATACTCACACTATCTTCTAGTTTCAGCAAGGTGGTATGGACTTTATTCAGGAAGAATGGGACAGTCTGCGGGTCGTAGCCCTGCACTTTAGCAACGATTGTCATCTCTTTGGCCACGGTCTGAGGGTAGAATCCCTTGCACTGAATTAGAACAAATGTGTATAACTGGTTACTAGACATCCCCGACTCTACAGAAAGTAGCATTGGTAGTAATAGGCTAATAAAATAAAAAAGCAATCAAATACAGAGGTTCTGTAGAGGCTAGGAAAGAAAAGAGAGTTGTTGACTGCAAAACAATTTTTAAAAAATAAAAAGGTGAAATATTTTGGCCACATTAAGACAAAATGCTTGTTAAAAACAACAGTTGTGGGAATAGTTGTAGGCAAGTAGGCAAGAAGCAGACAGTGATACAAGTAGGAGGATACAATCAAGAGTCTTTGAAAGGGTAATTTTTAATTTTTGTATTTGTGTTTTAAAAGTTCAAGTCACATGGCACCACAAGTCATGTTTTCTGTCTTGTGGACTTTCAACGATTCCTGGCAAATGTTCTGCCATGCCGCAATGACAATCTGTCCAGCATCTTCTCTCTTGGCCTTTCTTTCTCTCTTCCTCCTCTAACTTTTCCTGATGTATTTCAAAATTCCCTTGTCTTTTTAAACATTTCCTGACATTTTAGTTTCCCCCCCCCCCCTTCTCCCCATGTGACCAAATGGCATGTTAACATTGTTCAGGGTGAAGATAGACCATGTCACTCCATCAAAAACGCTAGATTTTTCTGAGTTATTATGGTTATCCCCACGGAACTCTAGACACCACCAGAGGTGTCCAGATCAACAAAACAGCAGCCTGCAACTCACAGAGCCAATCTGGAATGCAAAGGTGTTGAACCATACAAGGGCGAGGAGCAAGGACTCCAACAGATTAAAAGTAATAAACAAACAGACAATATTTTGACTGGCACTTATAGAAAGAAGTAAAAAGACAGAAGAACACACTAGAAAACGTAAAAATCAAAAGCTAAAGTTACTATCCTGGGAATCAAACCTGTCACCTCTGTGCGCCTAGCTATGGAAACAAGTGCACTAACAACACGTACAACTAGGCACCCCCAAAAAAGGTGTCTTCATTATCAACGTCTATCGTACAGCTTGAAATCCACAACTATGGAATCGGGACAGAAGTGATCTCAAACCATTGAAATGGCACCATAGGTTCCAGACAGATTAAGACCTATGCACAACTCTCTGTGGTCATCCTAGAAACATATTCCCAACTGGGGCCTACCTATGTACATAGGATTGACATTTTCTTTAAAGTCAGAATGCATTCTGCCTGAAAGATGAGGAACCAACACTCTAGCATACAAACAAGTCAAATCTGTAAAACGGGTGTGCACATAAAACTGAAGTCCTGAAACAAGACCAAAGTCCAGAAGTGGATAAATAACCAGGACTTTCTGCCGAAGTTTACAGTCACTGAATGCAAACAGGAAGATAGCTTTAGTCCTAAACTGACTGACAATATTTCTCAAACATCTGGTGTGCCTCTCACGTTGATATTTACTAGCTTTGTATACAAATAACTAGTTAATAGTTAATGAACAGTCATTTACTTGTCACAGTAAACACTATTATTAATAAAAATTACCACACACCAGGTAATTATTATTATTTTTTTTTTTTAAGATTGTAAAGATATTTAATGCTCAGTGTAAATAAACTCATTTTTCGATACTGCTTTATTTGGAGCATCCAATAAAAATTTTAATGTGAAATTGTAACATAATAAAATGGGGAGAAGGGGGGGGGGGGGGGGGGGGGGGGGGAGGGGTGGGGGGGGGGGGGGGGGGGGGGGGGGGGGGGGGGGGGGGGGGGGGGGGGGGGGGGGGGGGGGGGGGGTGGGGGGTGGGGGGGGAATTCCCTGGACTTTCACAACCATCATAAAGAGACATTAAGCCTGTTACAACACTGTTTCCCTTTACCTTTCACAGCCACCATAAAGACACATTAACTGTTACAACACTGTTTCCCTTTACCTTTAACAGCCACCATAAAGACACATTAACTGTTACAACACTGTTTCCCTTTACCTTCAACAGCCACCATAAAAACACATTAACTGTTACAACACTATTTATTTACCTTTAAAGGCCACCATAAAGACATAAACGGTTACTAAACTGTCACCTCTTGCCTTTCACAGCCACCATAAAGACACATTAACCCTTTTAAACATTGTTTTCCACTACCTCTCCAGGCTCCAGGGCAGTCCAGGTTGATGGCTTGTCAGCTTCCCTCACCTCCAGAACCACAGTGGAAGCATTGATCAGCAAGTAGAAAGGTGTGAATGTGACGATCTTAGTCAGGCCTGAGGATGCCAGGGTAATCTTCACTCCAACCTGGGCACACACAGAAACATATGTTAGACAAACAGTGCATGTATTAGTAGTTAGTTGTGTATCCTTTACAGGACCTTACAGCACCAAACCCAGAAGTTGTTGGCTGTTTGGTTTTATTAGACAATTTTACATTCGGTCCTGTCATCACAATCGATGTGACATTAGGACAACCACATGTATGCTCAGTCCTCCCATTCAGGAAACACTCCAAGGTACCTCTACTTATTGTTCCCATGAGAAGTTGGCTGTAGTGTCTCTTGTCTTGACCTCAAATATGGCACATACACCATGCTTTTTTACACCAAGCTCATGCAATCGTGTTAGCATCAATTAATCAATCATTATCCCCCAGCCTAGTCCATACAGCTTTGATGTTATCAGCTCTGCCATGAGTTGTCTTATTTGCATTAGTGTTCTACTTGTTAGTTGGTCAGCTCTTTCATTACCTTTTACACCTGCTGCCTGGAAATCAACACAAGGTGATCTGCTGCCAAACTGCACACAGCTGGAATCGGATGGTTACCTTGGAATTAAGTAGCACATTCATGATGCCTAGACCACAGAAATCAACATGTTTTGGCAATACATGCGGATGCTACATATTTCTTCAACTTGTGTGTTCACCCTTAAAAGGGTTATTCACATGTTGTGTTGTGGTTTACAACAAGTTTCTGATATCTATGCCTTTCTGCCCAATGCAACCGATGTCAGGAAATCCTTAAGTGGTTATTTTTTTCCTCACCATGCTTATACACATAGCGTACTGTGCCCCTCATAATTCTTTATTTGCAGAGCCACATTTCATTCCAAGTTCATCCGTTCCTTACACATGTTATTTCATCTAACATTATAACTTATATCAGTATTCATTCATAAACAGTTTTCATAATGTCCACTTTGTCCAATGTAAGTGTTCCTGTAGCTAACACTTTTGTAGTTTAAAGAATCTGCTCCTTCATCTGTCTCATACTCTTGCATATCTTGTACACCAAATCTGGTTACATAATCTCCAAACATGGTTTAGTAGTGAAAAAAGATGAAGACTTAACAAACATCACCCCCAAACTGTTTCCATGTATACAGAACAAAGATGAGCAAAGAACAAGGATGAGTACTGAACAAAGATGAAGACGAACATCACTTCCAAAATGTTTTTGTGTACATAGAACAAAGATGCAAACTTAACAAAGGTGAAGACTAAACAAACATCACCTCCAAACTGTTTTCATGTACGCAGAACTAAGATGAACACTGAACAAACATCACCTCCAAACTGTTTTCATGTACGCAGAACAAAGACGAACACTGAACAAACTGTTTTCATGTACGCAGAACAAAGACGAACACTGAACAAACTGTTTTCACGTACACAGAACAAAGACGAACACTGAACAAACTGTTTTCATGTACACAGAACAAAGACGAACACTGAACAAACTGTTTTCATGTACACAGAACAAAGACGAACACTGAACAAACTGTTTTTCATGTACACAGAACAAAGACGAACACTGAACAAACTGTTTTCATGTACACAGAACAAAGACGAACACTGAACAAACTGTTTTCATGTACACAGAACAAAGACGAACACTGAACAAACTGTTTTCATGTACACAGAACAAAGACGAACACTGAACAAACTGTTTTCATGTACACAGAACAAAGACGAACACTGAACAAACTGTTTTCATGTACACAGAACAAAGACGAACACTGAACAAACTGTTTTCATGTACACAGAACAAAGACGAACACTGAACAAACTGTTTTCATGTACACAGAACAAAGACGAACACTGAACAAACTGTTTTCATGTACACAGAACAAAGACGAACACTGAACAAACATCACCTTCAAACTGTCTCTATGTACACAACTGTTTCCATGTACACAGAACAGAGATGAAAATTGAACAAACATCTCCAAATTGTTTCATGTACATAGAATAACGATGAACATAGAATAAAGATGAGCTGTAAATAAAGATGAAGAATGAACAAAAACCACTTCCAAACTGTTTCCATATATACAAAACAAAGATGAATGCTGAATAAATAATAGGCCCCAAAATGTTTCCATGTTAGTTAGTTGTGTATCCTTTACAGGATGTTGCAGAAACTACCCGAGCATTTTTTAGCTATTGTGGTTTTTCTAGGCAAATTTACGTTCAGTTTACTATTGATTTCTGAACTGTCAGCTCTTGGTACCACTGTCGAAACCCATGAAAGCCAAATCGTCCCCAGCTGAAATCACATGCGGCACCCCGGCATTACGAAGCGTGTTCTCAATGCTTAAGCCACAGATGCTGACACAATGTACATAGAACAAAGATGAACATAGAACAAAAGATAAACATAGAACGAAAGATGAGTACTGAATGAAGATGAAGAACAAACATCACCTCCAAGCTGTTTCCTTGTGCCTTGTTTTTGCAAGTGACATTCCCACTGCTGCCAACAGTGTCCAGTGAGAACTTGTCTGACCATTCCGCGTCTGCAATCTTGAGGCTCACCTTTAAAGGCCAAAGTAGTAAACAAATTAGTCTCCATATCTGATTACTTACCTTTAGCTTCAATTTAAAAAGTGAAAAAGAATTCCGGAAATGAGAAAAGAAATATATTCATACATCTATATGTAAAGAAACATTTTCAAAATCTTCAGGGGCATTAACTCTTTTAGTCCCCAGGAACGCATCATATGTTATTAGGTTCCTACCTAGAAGTCCAACAAACGCAAGATGTGCCAATTATTCATTTCTCTGTACTACCCATTGGGCTTCTGATGCTGAACCCCATGGGACTGAAGGAGTTACAGATATGCAAAGCAAAGCTAAAAAAAAAAAAAAAAAAAAAGGAGCTTTTTACGCCAGCAGCATTTGAGGCATATGATAAAGAAAAGTAAAGTAAGTAAAGGACCCTTTTCCACGCCTTTAGGCAAATAGGGCTTGACCTAAATTTGTATAGACCTACGGCACAAAATGGGTGATGTGGTCAGCATCACGCCGGCCGCCTCTACTTCCCGGGATTGCCCCCAGTACCCACTCAAGGCTGGGCCGACCTGGGAGCCAACGTCATTTTTTAAGAAAAGTTCGGCTCCACCAGGGAGCGATCCCACGACTTTCCGATCCACGGCGCGTGTCTAGCCGCTCTGCCACGGCGACTCCAGAGGCATATGATGCTAGACTAATTTATTAACTTACTTAGTACCAAGCAACTCACCACAAGTTTGTTTGTGCCAAGCGATATTTTATACATGCCCTGAAGTCCTAATGACCCATAGAGCTGGTACATAACCCACTTTGTGTCCCAATTCTCTCTCTACTCCCTTCTGTCCCACAGGGTTACTGTAACACCTCAGACGCAAACATTTTTTTTTAAAGTTATTTCTTACAACAAGAAACAAACTGAAAGAGTTAATGGACCAACGGCCCTTTAACTTCCCACACACATTACCTGGACCCATTTTAGGCTGTGTCAAACCGGAAGCCAAGGTCAGATCTGAAAACAATCTGCAGTGAGGCAGATTTGAACTCAAGACCTTCAGGCTGGCATGCAAGCATACAGACACTATATAACCATCAGCTTCTTATGTGTAGAAGTGCATCTGTCTGAGAGGTGAGGAACCAACAGTCTGTATACAAATAAGCCAGATCTGTAAAATGGAAGTGCACATCAAGTTCTGGAATCCACTAGGTTATTGGTTCTCAAAAAGTTAAGACCTGCGAAACCATTCTAATTTTCAAAGGTATGCCAAACAAATTACTTTTTAATAATCATACTGAACAATTTATAATAACTTATATTAGAAAGGCAAAAATGACTGCAATCTAAAGTTGAGGTTTTTTTCTTCTTTTTGTAACGACATCAGAGACTCTTACATTCGTTCTCCACATACACTTCTTTAAATATTAATAGATCAGAACTTGTGTGACAATTTGGGATAACAAGAATCTGAAACAGCATCTGGTCATTGCAGTTTCTATAGCTAGCAGACGACCAGTTGCTAGGATACAGTTAAAGCTGTCTTGGCATCACTCTCACTAATTGTTCAAACTCCTTTCTTTGCTGTCTTTGTGTGGTACTTATATTTCTATTATCACCTTCAATTCAGTTTTGTCAAGCAGAAGTTATAAACCAACAGAGCTAGTAGCCCCCACCTCCTTTAATATTCCCTCCTACAGCATAAGACAATCCCAATCTACCATGTAGCAGGACCTCTACAGAACGTCGCTATCATCATGGTGTGTCTGAAAGAAACTTGGTCTCTCGCCAGCTCTCCCGCCTGGTGTACTTGTCATACTCAAGGGGTCACTTATATCCTCCTCCCATCTTTGCGTTGGTCAGCTCCTGACCTCCATCCTTGTACCATGCCTTCTGCTATTACTTTTTCCAAACCGCCATGGCATTTGATATGACCAAAATATTTCAGCTTCCAAGACAAGCCCAATCAGCACAAAGAAATATCTCATACAAAGTATATTCACTCCCACTTTATGCTACCAGTGCCTGCCATGGTCCCTCACAACAATTCACGAAAGAAAAAATAATCAGAAATGAGGTTATGAGAGAACAAGTCAGCACAGAACCAATTATAAATTACATACAAACAAAGCAAAAAGAATGGTGTGCTCACTTCGAGAGAATGCCCTGCAACATGACACCATCTAAGGCAAACACCACAAGAGGACAGGGATGTTGAGCAAGGAGCAAAGCAAGAAGAAGTTGGAGAGATAGCAGCAGAGAATTTTTACTACAGCATGATGTGTCTATGGTCGAGGCTGCCAAAACAGCAAGTAGCAGAACCTTATATCCCCCTCAACATCCAAAGCAGTTAAAGAGGAAATGAAAAAAGAGAAGATGTATGAAAACCATTTTACATTATGGAGAAGTTTAGAAGAAAATATTAGGTCTATACACAGCATTTAACTACAGATATGTGCAGATGCTACATAATTAAAATATATATATATATATAAATGATAAGGTAAACATAGTAATAACATAAAGAAGCAAAGTATGAACATATATTTATGAAACTATATCAGTGCATTCATAAATAGCATGGTAATGCCCTAATGGTAACATTCATATGACAGAAAGAATCTTTCATATTTCACACACACACGCACGCACGCACACACACACGCACGCACGCACACACACACACATACACACACAACACACACTCACTCTCTCTCTCTCTCTCTATCTCTCTCTCTCTCTCTCACACATAATCAACAAATACATTTAAATGACGTAATTTACCCTTACAATAAATCTACGTTACTGCTAAGTCTCCTGAGCTCTAAATCTTTTAAAAGCTATATTTAAACAATTTATACTTTCACAAAATCTCATTAACAAATCTAACCAAACAAGAAAAATAATTAAATCTACAGGGAAACAAAATTAATGCAGAGGTAAATAAGAATTAAGTTTAGAAGAGACAAAAAAATTAAATCTATATATAAAAATAATATAACAAAATTGATATTAAAAATATTATATGTAATCTCACACTGACATTACTCAAGACTGAAATTGCTAGGTACAGGAAGAATAACCTATGCCTAACTATCATAGAAATCACATTACTAGGAATGGTATGAAATATTTCACAAGAGATAAAATAAAACACATGAAGAAATGAAATATTCATATATAGTTTTACCTAGTTACATTAAATTTGACTGTTGCAAAAACAAATTATATATATATATTTTTATATATATAAATAAACACACACACACACACACACAAATTAGTGTAAAACTAGCATTATATATAAAACACATACTCATGATTTTACATGACTCTGTATACTTAAGCGAAGTATGTGATGAACATTTAATAAACTGGCCAGATCAAGCGTAAAGTTAACATATGTATGTATATCACTGTTCAGAATTAAGTGCAAACAGTTGATATGTGTTCACAATGTTCAGGATCAAATATAAATGAATAAGTTATCTAACAAAATCTGGCATATTTTGGAATTCGGAGTCTATAAATGTTTATTATTACAATATTTAAAAATGTAGTCTGAGGAGGGCACAAATTCCAGAGGGTGTGAAATCATAAATCAACAATTCTCAAAAATAAAACATGCACTTTATATAGATATACAGATATATATATATATATACAGCTATATATATACATATATACACACACACACTGGATGTACCCGGCCACACGTTGCTGTGGCCCAGTCTGGCTAACTGGAAAAGAAAGGAAATAGAAATCGCACGTGTCTAATGTGGTTAATTTCACAATCATTGTCTGTGCAAACAGTCTGGTTTGCCGACACTAGAAAACGCAACATGTAACTGTGTCCTTATATTAGTGGTAGTTTAAAGTGTATTGTTAAGACTTTTTTTTAAATTAGGTTATTTGTTTATCATTTTTTTTAAAGAGCTCAAAGTAAAGTTTACTACTGTTCGTCTAAAAAAAAAATTGCAAACAAATGAGAAAGGTGATGTAGCATTACTAAAATATAAATAATTTAAAAAAAAAAAACCCTATAAAATCATGTTTAAAGCTCCTTCTGTTAACAGTTTCTGTCATCACCCCACAATCCACCGACTACTGCTCTCTCCCTCTCTGAAGGATCTAAAATTCATCCCATATTTGTTTAAATTGACCTTGGCATCAGTGTCCATCCAGACTTAAATTGGTAGCAGGGATTGTAGTTAGAAGTAAATGCAGCCAGTATAATATTTACCACATCACATATTGAGTACCAGTATTACTACAACTCTTACCACCAGCACCACAACTAAAAAAAAACTCTCACAACCATCTGTTTTACCATCCGTTTAGGTCAGTGTAAACAAGGGGTTGTGAGCCAGAGAAGCCACGTGGCTAGTGCTGTCGGCACGGACTGTTAAGGTTAGGATGTTTAACTGTGTCCCTGACAGAGAAACTCCATTACTTTATTGTGGGTCGAACTCGGGTCTCCTGTCTCCCGAGCTGTAACCACCCCGCCAACCACAACAACAGCAACTACTATCAGATTTCTGAGGTTAAAAGTCAAAGTTCGGGAACCCGGCAATGAAAAAGAAATCAGATGGTCAGAAAATGAAACCAAGATGCTGATGTGAACTATGTAGTTTATGCTTTGGGCAACACTCTTATATAAAAACTAATATGTATTCTTCTTCTTCTTCTTCTTTCGTTCGCATGAAATAAATTGTCTATATCTGCAAAGCTGTCTCTAGTATGAATTTCACTGTCTTTTGTAATTCACTAAGCGGCCCGTAAAATTTGACTTCCACAAGTGTCTCTTTTGGCCAAAGGTTTTGCCTGAAAGCGTTGAATCTGGGACAGTCTTGAAGGATGTGATCTGTTGTTTCAGGTGCCAGTCCACAAGTACACATGGCTGATTGGCCAATCTTAAATTTGTTGTACATGTGGGAGCGAAGTCGATTGTGCCCTGTTCTAAGGCGAAGGATAATGACTTGCTCTGGTCTGTCCAAAATATGGTAATCATCTTGTGCCAGTTTCGGTGGCA